CTTGCTACTGAGTTTGACAAGTCTAAGAGCCATCCAGCTGCTTTGACAACCAAAAAATATGGTGTGGGGAAATGGGAACTGTTAAAAGCTTGCTTATCAAGAGAATATTTACTTATGAAGAGAAATTCATTTGTGTACACCTTCAAGCTTTGCCAAGTAAGTTTGGAAATTTGAATGTTTCATTTTATTGTCTTATCATCTGATTCTATAGTTGTCTAACTGATGTCTTACCCCTCCTTTTAGCTTGCTGTATTGGCAATTATCGCTATGACCATTTTCCTCCGAACTGAGATGCATAGAGATTCAGTCACTCATGGAGGCATATATTCTGGTGCATTGTTCTATGGCGTTGTTGTGATTATGTTCAATGGATTGGCTGAACTTTCCATGGTTGTTTCAAGGCTTCCTGTTTTCTACAAGCAAAGGGATTATCTCTTCTTCCCTTCATGGGTGTATGCACTCCCTGCATGGATCCTAAAAATCCCCATGACTTTTGTGGAAGTTGGTGTTTGGGTATTCCTCACCTACTATGTCATTGGTTTTGATCCATATGTTGGAAGGTACATGAGTTTAAACCAGTGAATTGATCTTTTCTCCCTTGTCTTATGTTCTATTTTAATCTTACTAATACATAATTATGTGTTGTGTCTTCCTAATACAGATTGTTCAGGCAATACCTCATTCTTGTACTAGTAAACCAGATGGCTTCAGCATTATTCCGATTTATTGCTGCAATTGGGAGGGACATGACAGTGGCTCTAACTCTTGGGTCATTTACACTGGCCATCCTTTTTTCTATGAGTGGTTTTCTCCTATCAAAAGGTATCATGTATGAAAAACATAACAATCACAGCCTTTCTCTCATTTTGTTCTTGACTAACAATGCTCCTTTGTTCCCTTTACTTTATGCCCCCAGACAATATAAAAAAATGGTGGCTGTGGGGCTTTTGGATATCACCTATGATGTATGGACAGAATGCCATGGTGAATAATGAGTTCCTTGGAGATAGATGGAGACATGTAAGTTTTTGATTAACCTATATGTTCGCTTTCATCCTTCCTTGATATAAATAATCTGATGTATGGATATATTTTCTTATGAAAGGTTCTTCCTAACTCAATTGAGCCACTAGGAGTTGAAGTTTTGAAATCACGCGGTTTCTTCACTCAATCATATTGGTACTGGATAGGTGTTGGGGCTTTGGCTGGATACACATTACTTTTCAACTTTGGCTACATGCTTGCTCTGACATTCTTAAATCGTGAGTCTCTTTACCTTAAATGTATAATAAAACAGCTAAGATAGGCTTTTGTACTAATATCACAAAATTGATTATGCAGCAATTGGGAAACATCAGGCCGTTATATCAGAGGAAGCTCAAAGCAATGAGCAGAATGGTGGTAGTACAAAAGGAACTAATGTGTTGAAGCAACTAAAATATAGTTTTTCTCAGCACTCAAATAGAGGTACTTACATCTCATAACAACTGAAAATGTAGTAATTTCTAGATCAGTAATAGTTGATTTTTAATTCACATAACACCTTATGGCTAACATTGGAGCTACTTCACAGTGAGAAATGGTGAAAATATAAGCGGAAGCAACTCTCATCAATCTTTATCCACTAGGCAAGAAACGGTTGCTGAAGAGACAAATCATAACAACAGAAAAAGAGGAATGGTTCTTCCTTTTGAGCCACATTCCATCACCTTTGATGAAGTAACATATTCTGTTGACATGCCACAGGTAAAGCAGAAACAAAAAATAAAATAAAATGAAAAAGGCTTGTTCAACTTTCAAAGCATTATTATGAAACAAAAATTATAAATATTTGCAGGAAATGAGGAACCGAGGTGTTGCTGAGGATAAGTTGGTTCTTTTGAAAGGTGTTAGTGGAGCTTTTAGGCCAGGTGTTCTCACTGCTTTGATGGGTGTCACTGGGGCCGGAAAAACAACTCTGATGGATGTACTCGCTGGTAGAAAAACTGGGGGATATATTGGGGGGAACATTTCAATCTCTGGTTATCCAAAGAAGCAAGAAACATTTGCCAGGATTTCTGGATACTGTGAGCAAAATGATATCCATTCTCCTCATGTTACTGTGTATGAATCCTTGCTGTATTCAGCATGGCTCCGATTGTCCCCAGACATCAGTGCTGAAACCAGGAAGGTTGGTATCTGAATTTCATGCATGCTCTTTGCCTTCATGTTTACTGATTTTATTTTAATAGAGGGTTTTGTTCAGTTTGAACACTAGAGATTGCCATGAAGTGGCCATTTTAGTCAAACTGCATCCATTTCCAATGTGGCTTATTGTAATATTTCTAGCACTACACTTCTGTGGGTTAAGCTGACGTAAGAAATCCATACATTTGAGTTTGCAAGTAAATTTTTATGTGGTCGAGTGCAAAAGCAAAAGAAATAGTGTTATTTACCATTAATGGTAGGAATTATAATGTCATAAAATAACTCGGAAACAAAAAGATGAGTGTTACTAAAAAAAATGTTTAATCAATGTTGCTAAGTTTTTGAAACTGATTTATGGTTGCAGATGTTCATTGATGAAGTCATGGAACTTGTGGAACTGAAACCACTAAGGAATGCATTAGTTGGATTGCCTGGTGTTAATGGTCTCTCCACGGAGCAGCGAAAACGGTTGACTATTGCAGTTGAACTTGTGGCAAATCCTTCTATAATATTCATGGATGAGCCAACTTCTGGGCTAGACGCAAGAGCTGCTGCTATTGTCATGAGAACAGTGAGGAACACTGTTGACACAGGAAGAACAGTTGTTTGTACCATCCATCAGCCTAGCATAGATATATTTGAATCTTTTGATGAGGTGAAATAGGCAGAATCAAGAAATGTAATTTTTGTTTGTTCTCTTACTCTTCCAACACTGAATTTCTAACCTTTTTTGTCACAATGAAATGCAGCTTTTGCTAATGAAGCAAGGAGGGCAAGAGATATATGTGGGGCCACTTGGACATCATTCTTCTCATTTGATTAGTTATTTTGAGGTAGAAAATATAAGTGCTATGAAAAAATAAGGAATACCGAGTTCATGTTTTGTTCATGCAAAAATTTTACTCATGTGCACACTTTATCTTGAAGGGAATCCAAGGTGTCAATAAGATTAAAGATGGGTATAATCCAGCAACATGGATGTTGGAAGTCTCAACTTCAGCTAAAGAAATGGAATTAGGGATTGATTTTGCAGAAGTGTACAAAAATTCAGAGTTATACAGGTATTTTTACTTTGTGAAGTCTAATCAAACTTAGAACTCAAAAATAATCCACTAGAAGAAAGAACTTATAGGCACAGTATAGAATGTTTACTGATATTTGGTCATTGGTATTTTGTCACAGGAGAAACAAAGCACTCATTAAAGAATTGAGTAGTCCAGCTCCTGGTTCACAAGACCTTTATTTTCCTTCACAATACTCAACATCCTTCTTCACTCAATGCATGGCTTGCTTATGGAAACAGCATTGGTCCTACTGGCGCAATCCTTTATACACGGCCCTAAGATTTCTTTACTCAACTGCTGTTGCTGTTTTGCTTGGTAGCATGTTTTGGAACCTTGGCTCCAAAATGTAAGATCAAACTGCAAACTAATAGCTTCAAACTCTTACGATCAGTAACTTCTGTTTGATCTAACAGCAAACTTTGACATCAATTATTGCAGTGAAAAGCAACAAGATCTTTTCAATGCCATGGGCTCCATGTATGCTGCTGTTCTCCTTATTGGCATTAAGAATGCCAATGCAGTGCAGCCAGTGGTTTCTGTTGAGAGAACAGTGTTTTATAGGGAAAAAGCAGCTGGAATGTACTCAGCTTTGCCATATGCTTTTGCTCAGGCAAGCAATTCCTTATTTTAAAAACTTGTCTGATGAATGTTCCTACATCCTCATAAATCACCATCCTAACACTATTAAGAAAATGTTAAATAGAAAAAAGATGCACTTAATACCTAGAAACACAAAAGCAATTAATATTTTATTCTGTAATTCAAAAAATTATTTGGAGTATTTAAAACAATTCCATCTATTTACTCCGTTATTTGTAAATAATTTAATTCTGGTTCTTTCTAATTCTATCTTCCTATCTTGCAGGTTCTCATTGAGCTCCCATATGTTCTAGTACAAGCTGTGGTCTATGGCATTATAATTTATGCGATGATTGGTTTTGAATGGACTGTCACTAAAGTTTTCTGGTACCTATTCTTCATGTACTTCACCTTCCTATACTTCACCTACTATGGCATGATGTCAGTGGCAGTGACCCCAAACCAGCACATTTCCTCTATAGTTTCCTCTGCATTCTATTCAGTGTGGAATCTCTTCTCAGGGTTCATAGTCCCACGACCTGTAAGTTTGGATTCCTTTCATATTTATGCTTTGTAGATTTATACTTTATAAGCATAGGAACAAATTCTAATTTGTTTTGTTTTATTTGTCTAACAGAGGATCCCAGTATGGTGGAGATGGTACAGTTGGGGAAATCCTGTGGCTTGGAGTTTGTACGGATTGGTGGCTTCACAATATGGAGATATTAATCAAAGGCTGGAATCCACTGATGGCACTACAACTGTGGAAGGCTTTGTGAGAAGTTACTTTGGCTTCAAGCATGATTTTCTGGGTGTGGTTGCAGCTGTTATGGTTGCATTCCCTGTTGTCTTTGCATTGGTCTTTGCCTTATCAGTGAAGATGTTTAATTTTCAAAGGCGTTAAGAAACCATTCAAGTTTTTTTGTATAGAATGTTCGGCAAGCATTTTGTGGGAAAATGTATAGTTTTTTTGTATCATAGTCCTATAATAGTCTGATGTAACACTTCATAAATTAATCAATGCATATGCAAATTCGTTCTTTTCTTCCAGTATTAAGCATCATTTAATTTATTAATTGTTTGAGTAGGCAAAGAAAACATGATTTGAGATTAATATAATATTTGATCCTATCGTTTTAACAGTGGACAAGATTATACATGTATTTGTTTAACAAAAAAAATTGTTACTAACTTAAAGGGTGCCAATGGTTCACACAAAATGACAAATTCTTATATCAAAATTATGTCATATCGGCATGGAAAGGAGGACAAATTTCATGTCACACGCATCTAACGTAGCACTTAGCATGCCCTAAATGTATTTCCCTTAATGTTAAGCGATGATCATTACATAGGACCAAAATAACTGACAAACTGAAGATTTAGGGACCTCAAGACCAACTTCTATCTTTCAATGACTAAACTGATGAACCTATGATCCTTCATAGGACCAAAATAACTATTTTTTCTTGTTATTTTGTTGCTCCGTTTACGCTGGCTGTTTACAACTGGCAATTATTTTCGAATTTTGACTTGTAAGAAAAAGAACATTGCTGCTTCACAAAAAAGAAATCTCCTACAGGCTTACGCACATGACATTGTTGCCAAAACGAAGGAATCATGTGTAGAGGAAAAAATCATAAACTAATGCAGTCTTGGGAAACACCAGATGTCTCAAAAAGAAATGGTTGATTCTGAGAACAGATTTATTCTATAAACTCTCAAGTAGAGCAGTGGCTTTATCTTGCAAAATCTGCCACGCCATACTGACATGCCTCCTTTCAGTCAATGGTGCTCCTACTGCAAAACGTAGAATGTACTGACCTGATAGAACCTGCACATATTGGTTATCATCAATTAAAGGGAAATAAGTGAAAATAAAACAAAACTTTAAAGATAATTTATGCATACCGTGTGAGTTATGAAAATATTTCCTGTTGAATTTACCGAGTCAAGTAGATCATGATTTAGCTTATTGCCATGATCTTCTGAGTTGAGAGGAGGCAAAAGTCGAAAACATACTAAAGAGAATGTACGAGGCGCAATAACCTGTGTACATAATTTGTTGCAATTTTTTTCAAGGCAAAGGCGGAGAATTAAATAAAGTAATTAAGACGACATTCCTAATTGCCATATTTTGGCTTAAACCAAATTATTTGGAGCAAATCTGTAATACCAAGTTACTATTGTCCACATAATGCATTATGCATTTAAATTAAGAAATGAAGAATGAAAATTTTCCCAGAAGGAAGAATACCTCGAATCTTGCGTCCTGACCAACAAGCTCCTCAAAATAAGCAGCCATTTCAATGTGGTTTCTTATGTGACTACGGAGACCTTCCAATCCATAGAGTCTTAACACCATCCACAGTTTTAATGATCTGGAGCCCAGTGTAGGTGAATAACCAATGTTACATATCTTCTGGTAATTATATATATTTAAGGTATACAGAAATTTTTACTAGAAATAGATAATCCAATGATTTGATAGAAGTTATAACATCAGAAGTTTCCATTACCTCTTAATGGGAAAAAGGAAGAAAGAAAGAAACTCAGAGACATATAAATCCATAAAATTCAAGAAACATTACAGATCATTATCTCACACAAATTATTAAATATATTTAATTATAATATTGAATATATTTAATTATAATGAGTTAGAAGGGCCAATGCATGAATAATGCGAATTTATGTATGTGCAGACATGGATATCCATGTAAATTCTCGCCCTCAGCAAAATAATTCAAATTGAAAGGAAGAGAGATATTTCAATATCAAACACAAAAATATATTTATCTGTTAACAGAAAACGAAATGGCAAATATTTCTAAAGGAAAACTTCCAAAGAAACACCTGAAGCGACGTCCAAGAGGAATTTGCCAATCTTTGTAATCTATGACCATGTTTCCTTGGGAGGCCTGCAAATTCAATAGCATAAAAACACAAGTAAACAAGGAATGAACAAAAGTACATCAATTTTCAAATCACATACTTTCATACTTTCTATTTAATAAACATATCCCATATAATTCTGTTTCCTCAAAAGATTACGCCTAATCCATGAGAGAGGTAGAGGAAACTAAATTTACAGAGATATAGAAGGAAAAAAAAAAAAAAAAGAGGGGGGTGTTAAATACCTCCAGCTTTATTTCTAGGTCATCCAATAAGTAATCAATAATTATTTATTGCATTGGAAGCACCTCTCTGTAGGAAGAAGAAAAAGAGGAAGAAGAACATTCCAGGTGCTGCAATTTTGTTTTTTTCTTGTACGATGTCTCTCTCTTCTTTCTTTAATGGTTTATAACATAAAGATAGTTAAACTGTAGTACCAAAATTTTGTACCTTGATATTTATTTATTTACCATTTGGGTTCCTTCAAAGCAGAATGCTCCTTTTGCTTGGACTACGTAAATGATAATTCATATTCTTCAATTTTCTTCTAGAGAACCAACTTATAAATTTAATGTGATAATATAACCAAAAAAAAAAAAAAAAACAAACAACAACAATAATTATAAAAGCTCCACACACAAAGAGAGATTAAAAAGAATAAAAGTTAGGACGCTTCAAAAGTTTGGAAACCTCTTACAGAAAAACTTCAGTGAAAACCTCAAATATACAAATAGGAACTTACCTTGTTTTTCAAAAATTCAGGATTTGTTGACAGTGACTGAATCAGAGCACTCCTGTCCTGTCATCAACTCATCATCAGTTTGACTTGCTTACGTTCTTGTTTATGAAGTAAATTGAAATGTTACAACTACAAATAAAGATGCAGAAGTGATATTGAGGGGAAAAATATATTAAGATACCTTAACCCAAAGTAGTGAACAGTCAAAATTAGTCAGGAACCATTTATGCGCATTCATGTTAAATGAGTCTGCTTCTTCAATGCCATCAATGTAGTGGCGGTACTCTGAACATACACAAGCACTTCCAGCATAAGCAGCATCCACATGAAACCAAAGTTGGTTGGTCTGCCAAATAAACATGCATCAGAGTATTATCAGATTGTATAACTCTCCAAAATGCATTCAAAAGCAAAAATTCAATGCAGGCCATTTCATGGGCGAATCTTGCAAGAGCTTAAGCTGTTAGATGAAGGTTCAAGAATCAGTCATCCTAAAAGCCAAAGATGTGGATAATGGACCAAACATACTCCACAACTATCTTTATCTCCTTGAATTCCTAACATGCTGAACAATCATTCTGGTTTTCGTCTTTCCAGCTGCCTTCTTAGTTTCTTACGAGTCAGTCAGTCACCTGTTCTTTCCGTGTTGAAAAGAAAACCTGTTTGCAGTCTATATTCTCTAATACAATGCATCAATGGTTATACTAGCATGTTAATTCAATCAAATATATTACCTTGGCAATTTTTCCCAATGCAGGCAGAGGATCAACAGCTGTTGATGAGGTGGTACCAACCTGCATGTATAAATGCAGAGTTTATGCAATCAATGCCAGAAACTTAATATCTACCAATACTAGACTCTAGAGTTGCCTCAAGTTGATGTAAAGATTCAGATACATCACCATTCATTAACAAGAAAAACAGAACCAACATAGCGCCAAACAGAGTTTCAGTGATAAACATTTACCATGTTAAGTATCCATTCAGTACCATCTCAAGATTTAATATCTTGTAAAAGTCAACATGCATAATTTTCAATATGAAGTCTCTTGCATGTATAATTTAAGATCCAAAAAGAAAAACTGCATGAAACGAAGGTTACTTGTCCCTGGAACCACATCGATAATTGAACTGGATTAGAATATAAAAAGAAAACAGAAAGTTTATTAACAGAAACCTCTGTATAAATAGGATACACTATCAGAGATGAGGAAATGAAAATACAAGCCAGTGGTGCAGAATAACAGATACCTTAACCTTTTATTATAGGCATCTGAGACTTCTATTCTAGGTAGTCAAGAGACATGGACTCTCCCCAAACTTCCTAAATCAATCAACAATGCCCCTAACTAACACCCCCGCCCCTTTCTTATTTTCTCTCCTGTGTACTACAATTAACTGTCTATCAGACTATTATTGTTAGTTACAGACTGGCGTCCCAATCTTGTACTCTCCCCTTTGTTAGTCCTAACATAGACCCTATTGACCCAGTCCCTAATCATCTGTTCCCAACAAGAAATAACGAAGAAACAGAGCTCCTGATCACAACATGAAGAAAGATATGCTATCCCTTGATCTAATGATTAGATGAGTAGAACAATTTCCAATTTGAAATTCAGTAAACTGATATGATAAAATATTGGGTGTAAGATACACCCACGAGGACAAGGCTACAAAGTTAAGCTCGTTGTATAGTAATTGTGTCAGATGTCTATTCGGATTAGGATCTTTTAGTGAAAAGTTAGTTAGGTTAGTTAGCTGAAGAAATAAGGCATGTTGACTATAAATAAGAGGAGAGGTTGAGAGAGGGATCTTGTCATTTAGAAAGGGTTGGACTCTTAGGGAGTGGGTAGAAGCCAGGGACTCTCAAATACGCTAAGTACTATTGTAATTCATCTCTGGCTCTATTGCCAAAGAGTTGTATGAATAATACACATTTCATCGCTTTTCCTCATCTATTTTCTTTTTTGTCCTAATACAGTTCCATCAAATTTGTTACAAATTCATATCAGAAGCATTTAATTCTTACAGTAGCACATAAGAAAAAGGGTATAAGACCGCTGGCCATGTCATTTGAAATTGCTTCAGAAAGTACATCAGGAGAAAGCGCATAATCTGTGGAAGAATCAGTTTTAAGCAACCTGCAAAGCGCTGGATCAAGTCCTGCTATCTGCCAATGTAAAGTAAAAAGCCATTATACTTCATTATAAAAGCGATCTCATTGTAAAGTAAATATCAAATGACTAGATATCAGACAATCATTCGATTAACAAGATGATAAATACTCCAATAATCTTATATGATAAGAACAGGCCATTTTCAATTTTATGTGCCATTGGAGGTACCTGACAAGCTTTTTGCAAAGCAGTGTGTGTTTGATCAGATGCATATGTCACAAGCTTAGGAAGGGAACCCCTTCCCACTTTCCTCAAGATCTTGTCACGAGCAGCTAATAATACAACTAGCACAGCTTCACTTGCTGTTCCCTGTATAACTCCACCACCTTGCCCTACAATAAAATCACATCCCATGTTGCACAAGTTTACATGTAGTATTCAAGTTTCTACCAAATATATTATTCATATGCCGTTTAGGTTCTAATTTTTATCATCCATGAAATTCATTCATGTTGAAGGTTAAAGAAATCTCAAGAATGAGTTTACAAGCTCATTCAAACTCGAGAAATTTCATATGCAAACCTACCTGAACGTGTCCTGGTTCCTAAATAATTGAACTGTGTCATTTCTCTCCTTTTTTTTTTCTCTTCTATTTTTATCTTTTGGTTAATAAAATGAAAGATATCAATTAATAAAAATTATAAAGGTCATAGAAGTCTATATCCTATTAAAGAAGAAGAAAGAGAGACATGACAAAGAATGACTCATGTTAAAAAAGAAAGAAAGAAACTCACAAAGGAACTTGTGGAGCTAAAAGGAGGAAGTATCAAGAATTATTTGCTTAATTATAGTTGGAATATCTAGAGGATATCCAATAATATCGTAGTTATATTTTAGAATAGTTTAGAGTATCTTGGATTGTCTCTTGAGATTGTTTATCATAATTTTTCTGTGGTTTCATTGTTTGTTTTCTTATTTAGATGGAACTCCGTGCTTTATGTTTTATAACATGTCATCCAACACATCATCTCATACCAAGTAAATATCAATTTCAAAACGTTACGTCTCTATTTTCCTTCCCTCAATACCTAAGGCCCTATAACATCAACAATTATCAATTAAAACACCAATTGAAAACACAGCCTCTTCCATTTCAGATACAAGATAGAATATACATGTTCTTTTGCTTGAGCTTAGAGAAACAAATACTCAGTAGTGTGTACTGTATGAAGGGATTAACTCTTCAAAAGAAATAAAGCAGCCCATGAGCTTACCAGTAGAATAGAAATGATGAGGGAGGAGGAGTGCCTTAGCGAGCCAATCGAGAACAATGGTTTCAAGTTCAGTTGCAGCAGGAGAAGTTATCCAGCTGAAACCCACGATGTTAAGACCAGCACTGAGCATCTCTCCTAGAAATCCAGCAATGCTGCTGTTTGAAGGAAAATATGCAAAATAATTGGGGCTTTGCCAATGTGTCACCCCTGGTAGTATCTTTTCCTGTACATCTACAACATGACATCACACACATTTCACCCATCTTATTGCATGCAATGCTAACATCACTCATATAATTCTATGACACACTAAATATGAGAAATAATAACAATAAAGCAATTGCATAAAAAAAAAAGTTTGTCGAGAAGCTTTCACCATTCAAAACATGCCGCAACGAATCAGGATAATCAGGTGCAGAATCGGGTAGAAGCTTCTGAAGATATCCTGGCTGAAACGGGGAAAAAGAAAATCTTTGGCAATGATTACAAGGTTAAAACAATATGAATGAGCACTGCACTGTTACATACATACATATATAACATTAAAAAGAAAAATGGGAATTGAAAACCTGAACTTGGCTGAGAACAGGGAAATTATGAATGGTTTTGTAGTAATCGGCAATGAAGTCAACCATCTTATGAGCTTCCTCTCTCAGTTGGTCAGCATCCATACCCTTCAACCCATTTTCTTCCCTTTCCCTGTGCAGTTTACAAACACATTCAATGAGAATCAATTACTATCTATCTATGTGTTAGTGTTTGATACATTCATGTGTGTTGTGACTACTCACATTTGCTTCTCAGAGAAAATGAGATGAGTGAGAGAGAGAGAGAGAGAGAGTTTCTTGTTTTCACTCTGTCCAACTGTTTATGGAGAAGATAGAATGCATTAACTTTCGATGATCACAACCTCTAAAGTCTTCACCCCTCACACGATAATAATATATAAATATTTAATCAAATATACTTAATATCTTCAATTTTTTTTCTATAAAAATAGTTTAAAGTACCACTAAACTCTTGTTTCTAATTCAAACCGATACTTGCAGAAAGAACAGCTCACGTGCTTGTTTTCTCAACTATTGAAATCATTGGAGAGAGAAATCCATGGATTATAAACTTGTTCTTCATAGATATTTTTTAAGAGTGTTAATTAATTAAATTAATTAATAAAAATAACTTGCACAAGTTTAAATATGATTGGTAGTGATAATTAATTTGAATTTTAGTACTTATCTTTTTTTTTAACTTTAGACCTTACTTTTTTATTTATCTAGTTTCTGTATTTTAAAAAATATTAATAGTAAAGAAATAATTTTTATAATTTAAGTTATTGTTATTTATTGAGAAACAAAAATCTATTGATATGAAACTATATTAACATATATTTAAAAAAAATAAGATTTGAAACTTAAGTAAGAAATAAAGCTTATAAAATGGGTTATTATAATTACAATACACTTCAAATAAGTTAGTTTTGAAAATGTTTTAAAAAATTGTATATTATTTATATATAATTCATAGGATATAATTAATCTCATCTAATAAAATGTTAGTTTTTAATATTTATTAGAATTTAAGTTTCTTTTTAGTTAGTCCACTTAGAATTGAGGGTTTAAATTTATTATTTTGTTTTTTCTTATTTTAATTTTTTTTTTCAAGATTCAAGTTATTATTATTATTATTATCGTCGTCTGAGTTCAAGTTTCATAATTTATAACTTTTTTTTTATTTTATGTAAATTTGGGGAATAAGCCCAAAACTGTGGAGTTTTGGGCTGAACCTGAAACATGAAAGTTTTCCCCCAAACCACACCCTACAATTTAACCATTTTTTTATTGGAGCCAAAAAAGAAAGCAAAAATTGTAAATATTATGCACGTATTTGTAAATAATAAACTTTCATTTTTGTTTACGTTATTATCATTAAATTCTCAAATCATGTACCAATATGTTATTCCAAAAAAAAAAATCAGTAACATATTCCCATTGAAAACTATTTGATGTTGGCAAAAATCATTTATAAGTTGCATTGTTTAATTTTGAAACTTGATGATAGAAAATATACATAAATTCACCAGAGTATTGTTTTAATTTAAGTAAAATTTAAAAGGATTACATTAAAGAAAGAATGTTTTAAATTAGAAAAAAAATTAAATTTTAAAAAATAAAATTAGAATGAAGCGTGCCTTTTTAAAAAAATAAATTAAAGAGATAAACGAAGGAAGAAATAAGGATAGCACATAGATGAATTTTGATTTGAAGATCCCAAATGAAAACGAGATGAAATTAACAAAGAAATGTACCTTTTAACTTTCGTTTCAGAGCCATGGTGATGATTTGGAAAGTTAAGAGGACATTTGGTTTTCAAAAAATCCTGTTTTTATTATTTGTTACAATTTTAATCACAAATCTCTAAAAATAACTAGTAAAATAAAATAAAATAAGTGACAATTTTGTAATTAGAACTAAATAATAATAATAATCAAAACAGCCCTTTAACTATGTCTAGTGAATTCCATGGTAGAATCTACTATTGTCATGCAAATCCATTTGATCATCACGAATAGACCAAAACTGAATACTGCCATGGTAGATGCTACTATTGCAATCGTCTTTCCTTGTTCACGATCGATATCGCTTTGGCAATCAAACATAGATTAATTAAAAAAAAAATTCTTTTTGGGTTATGAGATAATATCTCTTATAATTATCTCACTAAATTATATATATATATATATATATATATATATATTCCAGTTGTTAAGATGAATTTGATTCTTATTCGAACTGTCTAAGAATATCTTATTGCTTGTTTAGCTGCATTTAAAAAATGTGTCTTCACTCAAACTATATTCTATTATTCTGATGTGATTTTTTTACCTTCAAATGTTCCCTTCCCTTGCAATCTTTGTAATACAAGGTTCTCCAATGCAGCTTTTTTAAGGAATATATAAATTAAGTACGTACATGTAATGTTTTGTCGCATATGACTAGTGTTAATCAAATTTAATGTAATATCAGCATACAAAATGGTTTATCTTTAATCAATTTTGTTCGGATCCTCCGATTTTAATTTATTTATACTTCATCTTGGGAGAACATATATCAATTATTTAATAGTGTGCATGTAAGATACCATGGATGTAATTTAGGGACTTGTACATACTGCATGTAAAAGTAGAAAATCACAACAGTAATCGGTAAATTCATTGAGTTTTTAGTATGTATTTATTATTTCCTTCTTAAACTTAGGATTCAAACACAAGTTCTTATTGTCTTAGTGTCTTTCATTTTACATAGGTGTTTGGTTTTCTCGAGCTTTAAGCTTGCATCGTTATATTATTGACATTAGTCCTTGAGTTAATATTATGTGTGTCTGCTTATTGCATGACTATACATAAGTATTGCTGATTGCTTGTGCAGCGTAATATGAGATGGGATCCAAGTGATACAACTGCGATTGCATGCCATATGAAAATAATATGAATGGACCCTTTGATTGCTTGACTATAGTCACACAATGTTCCATTAGTATTCAAATTTCATTAATTATGATTAGCATAACCTAAGTTTATGTGACCATTAAACAACAATGAATGCCGTGGCTTTTTGTTTTTGGTTGCTCACCTTCTTCATTTACTATCTCTTAGCTTGATTTCAGCTAATTTATCTCCAAGTCACAAAGAAAGGACCATATTTTTCTCTTCCATGTGGACATTGTGGAGACGCCGAGGAGAGTAAAAGGCATGGGACCATAGGTAGTATATTAACAAATAATATATTTCTTTTATTAAAAATATCTTAACAATACATTTTATTATGATGAAAAACTCAATAAATTTTCGTAAAAATTGGTCGAGTGTGCATGGAAGCTTACACAATCAATGGGTCATGGTAGAAATCACATTCTTATCATTTGTATGCTTACGTTAATGGTGATGGAAAATAATTGGCTATTAATTTATGCGTCAAAATTGGTTATTATTTTCATTTTGCGAGTAGTTGAATAAAAATGGCACAATTGTGTAAGGTTGCAATTGCACTTTCCTAATTTGGTAGATTTCCAGATAAGATGAAGGAGAAGCAGCAGAAGCATCTTTTTCGAGAGCCTCGGGAGTACAACATTGTTGACAACACAAACTTGACTATGTGATGTAAATGGTGATGAGGGTTAAATTTTGGGACATATTTCATGTGTCAATTGGGCATGGCCACTCTTTTGTCTTCATTCTAATTACGAATTTGAATGTTACATTTGTTTTCTGAGAAACGTTTCAATGTTTGCAATGGTTATCATGATGAATACATTATTTAGAAAGAATAATTTTTTTTATAAAACATACTTAAACTGAAACTTCTGTTTGAGATCGATAAAGAAGTTAAAATGAGTTATTATTCTTCTTAATTATGCATTGATGAAAGGTTCCTATCACTTTAATTATATCTAATGCTGTCTTGATTCTTGAGTTATTACATTCATTGCATAATAAAGTTTTAACTTGGGACTACACTATGTGAAACATGTGTTAGACTTTTATTACATTCATTGCATAATAAAGTTTTAACTTGGGACTACACTATGTGAAACATGTGTTAGACTTTTATTACATTCATTGCACAATGTTTAGAAATATTTCAAAGTAAAAAACTTAAATAATTTTTTGATTCATATAAAAGTTGCAATACTTTAAAGTAATTCCTAATCTTTTTTCTTATAATTACTTAGTTCTTATAATGACTTTTTCTTACAATTAAAATGAACTAACTTATTACTCGAAATATATTAGACTATATATATATATATATATATATATAAACTAACCCTAAACATAATAATTTTTATAGAAATAAAAAACTTGTTTAAACCAAAATATTTTTGTTATCTTTTTCTTCCATGCAATAGTTATAGTTTACATCTTTTATCTTTCTCATTTAGAGTAGTAATTAAGAAATTAAGTTTTGTCTTAGGTTAATTTTAAAAAAGAAAGAGCAAATTTATTTAATAATAATTTTTATTTAAAATTTTTTAAATGTGTGATTTAAAAAAAATATGAATTCACATTTTTTATTTATTTTAAAATCAGTAATTTTTGAAAACTTTGTCCTCTCCTCCTATAATTCTCAAATCATCTATTGCTTTCTTTTCTGCTAAACTTAGAAACAAAGTGTTAGGAGTCAGCACAAAATTCACTGATTGCAATTTTATTCTGTGATGTCTGAAAGTGAAAGTGATGTATCTATTCTCCTTTCTCTTTCGTGATTAAATTATAGGCATGTTCATGTAAGTAAGCTTAGTTATAAGTGTGTTCATATTTGTCAATTTAGGTCCTATTAATTGGACGATTACCTCTTTGTTATTTTTATTACATGGTGTAATTATTCATTATTAAACATCTCCTTTTGGTTCATTGCACCAAATTGTATATTATAAATCCACAATTACCTATAATTCATATTAGTTAGGCTGATTCCTAAGAGTACAATTTTTTAGAATAAAATTAAATTATAATACAATGGACAATTCATTGATCTATTGTTTATACATTATTTTCTTAAACAAATGCAATTATAAAATGGAACATTCACAAAAAAGAAAACGTGTAGAACTCCTTTAGTTATACTTTTAACAAATAATTTTATTGGATTTTTTATATTATTGTTTTTACCTGAAAGTTTTCATATTGACAATATTGCTTGTTGGTGATTGAAAAGCTGAGTACTGAAAAGACAACGAAGCAGTGTTTTTCAAGTTGACCTATATTTATTGCCATACAATTTTTTTAGGGAGTTTTCTTATTATCGAAATTGACAATTTTCTTATTTTTCAAATTTGGAAGGAGAGACGTACACGGAGGCTTTTTTATACATAGTATATAGATTTATTCTATAAAATTAACTAATTTTATATAAAAATAAAAACGATTAATAATAAATTTAGAGTTTTTATATTTTTATAATATTCTAAAAGATAAATTAATGGCAAAATAATTGGCATGTTGACAGCACGTCAACCAAACACGAGTAATGTCATTATCAATAAAATGTACAGTGAATCAATTCGAGCTGGCCAGCTTGATTTTCTGGTTAGTACATATCCTTTCATGACCCTTAATTTATATAATTAAAAATTCAAGATATTAAATGAGAGACTGCCAAGTATTTTTTAGTTTAAAATATTTAACCCTATTTTTTACTTGGTAAAATTTCCAGCATTAACTAAACATTTTATTTACAAATTTATAAATATTATTTGAATGCTATAAATACTTGTTTTAAATTTTATTTAAATGTGTGGTAAAAAAAATTAATTAGCACAGGTGAAAAAATTTACTATTTTACTTTTTTTTTTAATTATGAAATTAGACATTGTATTTAATGATTCTGCCCCACCAAACGTCTCAATTCATCTTTTGATTGGTAAGCGTATGTTCCCAAAAACATATACAAACCCTATCTATTTCAAGCCTCACACACATCAAGGCTACGTGGTACCTCTAATGGTATAGTCGTATTACATGTTTTGTTTATTTTAGGTTTTTAAATTTTATATTTGACTATTAATTTTTTTGTATTGTATAAATGTTATTAAATTAAGATAATTTGTCAAGTCAAAGAAGGTAGATTATTTTATATGATTATTTTAAATTTTTAACTTAAAATTCAAACGTCATAATTATTTTTTCACAAGTTTCTTTGTATAATAATAGTGATTGTCTTCTCCTAGCAATAAAATTTATATTATTTAAAAATTGACATCACATTTTTTTAGTCAATCAAGTGTTTCTGGTTATTTGATAATCCATTTTAGGGTGTGAAATAGGCGGGAGGCCAGATAAATAAATAAAAAAGATAAAACATATAATAAATTTTAAATTTATCCAAATCAAAAGTGTCATTTAAATGATTTTTTAAGTATTTAATATTATTGTATTTATTAAAGTTTAAACTCAAAATTATAAGTTAAAGTATAATAACCTCTTATTAGTTAATCCACGTGTTTAATAATAATTTTTTTTAAAGATAATATATAAATATTAAACTACCAAAAACAATAGAAGACATTTTAAAAAATAGAAAAAATAAAGATGAGAGAATAATAATATAAGAGATAATTCTAAAACCTGTTTTTAAATCATGATGATATGTAAAAAAATTAAGATATAAGAATTAAATAAAGTATAATATATTATTCTATTTTACATTTGATGCAGGTTAAGATACTAAACTATATACATTATGATAATTATTTGATCTTTAATGATATACAATAAAAAATAATAATAAACATTTTTTATAAAAATTTATAACGTTTAATATCATATACATTAAATTTAATGATATATATTATTTTTAATAAATTTTATTATATATACATTTTTATATATTCCTTGAAACACACGTTAACTAAAAAAATCACATGTTATCTCGTCTTATTTATTTTTAATCTAAGTCTTTTATAAGTTAAAATTTATATAAAAAATATATAACAAAATATTAGATAAAAATATTATATCTGATTAGACATTAGATGAAGTTATTGTATCCTATTAAATAAATAAATAAAATTATGATAGGATAAAACAAATATTCGAGCAATAATTAAAGTTTAAAATCATAAAATTTTTGTTAAAAAATATTATTAATACATTTTTCATGATTCTCAATGCAGTTTGAAGTAAATTTTAATAAAACACTAAAACAAATTATGTTATCGTATTTAATTTTGTATCAAATTCACAGTAAATGCTCCAAAAATCCACCTCATGAGTGCTAGTAAATTATTTCTCTACAATGCATCTCATCTTGCTAATCATTGAAACGTGTATATCATAAGATCACTGCTATCCAACCCAAGCTTCTAACATTGCATGCAATTCAAAGCCACTAACAAGTGATGAACCATATATCATGCAAGTCTCTAAAACTCTTATATAATTTCATCTAACTATTAAAATTAAAAGAACAAAAAAAAATTAACATTCTTATATTGCAAAATGTATTCAAAACAATTTCCAAATATAAAATTCAATCACAACTTTACACAGACAATTTAAATCATTGATAAAATGTAACATTTAAATATTATTGTTCCTGTAGATATGCACCCACCAAGTCTTTGTAATTCAATTTAAAAGATTTTATTTAGTTATCTGAAATCTTATATTTAAAAGTAATGTAGCTTGAAAAATGTTTTTCTTCCCGAAATGATGATTAGTTTTGCAATTTTTTTATAAATTAAAGTAACAATTTTATCATTCATAAAAAATAGTATTGTAATTAACACGGTTAGTATTGATATTGTACATATTATTATTATTATTATTATTATTATTATTATTAACTTGATTAGCATTATTGTTACCACAATTAGGTTGATTGAATTCATAATTACTATAATAATTGATTATATTTAAAAAAAATTAATAGATTAACCTTTTTAATCTTTTATTTTGTTTCAATTTAATTTTCTAACTTGTTTTTTGTATTTAGTGTTTTGAGTCACCGTTTATTTTAATTTACTTTCGGAATTAATATATACTCTAAGTGTGTGTGTGTGCGTGCGTGTGTGATTTCTTTGACTAACACTAACATAGCACATGAACTATGGATCACTTTTGTGACTTTATGGAGGCACTTATGGTTAGATTAATTAATAGTTAATCAAAAGTGGAGAAAATGGGTAAGTTTAACTTTTGATCAAATTTATAATTTGTTGGCAATGGCAAGTCGCAAATCTCAAGGTGTCAGGATATAACTTTCTATAAAAAGAATAAAGTAAATGGGATTATATATAGCAAATTAAGGTGCATGTATTTTATTAAAAATAATAATAATAAAGGTTGACTATATAATACTATAAATGGACACAGTGGTGTTTCCTAAGTAAATCGTATAAAATCCCATGTCGTGAGGATAGGTGGTATGCTGATTTCCATGCCCAAGATAATTAATTATTGAAGCCAAAAAAAGAAAACTATGATTAACTTAGTTATATTAGTATTTCATCTGTTGATTCTGTTTTCTTTTCTAATAATTATTTATAAATATGTGTAGCATTTTAAAATGTAAAATCCAAATATGTTATCTCTCTGTGATATTGCATATTTGCTAATTCAAGTTATCAAAAGAGATGCATGCCAATTTCCATTAGGATGATTTCACTTTTGCGCCACGTGTGTAACTTTATGCAAACTTTTCATTTCAATGCAAGTTACCTTGATGTTATTATTACTTTTTCTTTTTTTTTTTCTGGTTGAACTTCACAATCAAATGTTCATGGGTCCATAAATCATCTTAAAAGTCAATGAAAACTTCACAGCCACACATTCATTGAAGCCGCAAACCAAGGATAAAATTCACCAAATTAGTGTTTCAATTTTATGTTTTGTGCTTTCAATTATTCATTTTGAATGAATAAAAATTGATCATTTTATAATCTTGTATTTGTTCATAGAACAAAATTTAGATATACTTTTTGAAATGTTTTTATTGTCAATTCATAATCAAAGTTAATGTTTTATCTTAATAATTTAGAATAGTATTAAACTTTTTTAAATGATAATTAAAAGTTGCACCTAAGTTTTATTCTTCTGTGTGTCAACGTTTCCTAAAGAACCAAGTGGCATTGTTAATTTCATAATCTTAATTTTGACATCTCTATGTTTGGAATTTTTTTTTTATTTGGTTATTTACTTTACAGGTAATTGATGAAGACGTGGTTCCTGATGCACCTTTTTAAAGTTAAACATGTTTCGATAGCTTCAAAAAGCATATCATTATCCCTATGGCATCACCCACTCCCCACTCTCTTCGATTCGATTAATCTGAATCTTACTACCAAAAACGTGATTTCGCACTCAAACTGTTTAATTCAAACAAAGCCCTTCTCATTTCCTAGGGAATTGTATGATCCAAAATCTCCACAGTGCATAAACATTATATACTATATACTGTATACCCCGCACAGCATTAGATGCTATCCTCTGTTAAAACATTGAGAATTTGTTTAATATTTATTTGTGGACACATAGTGAGATCCTTATCATGATCTCATCACTCATCACTCATCACATCAACCCGCATACGCACACATGGGACAAATATGCCTCAGAATGACATTAAGCTAAAAAAAATTGCATCAACCTGAAATATTCATTATTCTATATGCTACCAAAAACTTTAATTAATGAAAAGAATAAAAAATATGCATCCCACACATCACCGGTTGAGGTCTATAAATAATTTGGTAAATGAACTGAGCCTCCTTCATATCACACACTAAACCAAACCAAAACTAAAACCTTCAGAAAATCGTTCATTCCATTAAAACGCAAAAGTGTCCTTTTTCAAGCAGCAGCAGCAAAATCAAAAGTTTATCATTTTCACACGGCACTTTAATGGTTACCACCATTACCGACCAAAACATAAAAACATAGTTAAAAAAGCGAAGTAACAGAATATTAAAGAGAGAAGAAGAGATAGACTCTCTCTCTCTCTCTCTCTTCAACATTGTTGTACTTATTATATAGCTGCGGCGTGAAGGGTTCTTCATTGTTGTCGTTCTCTGTATTGGTGAGTTGTTTTGCTCTGTTTCTCAGCTAGGTTTGGTGTGTAAAGGTTGGAGCTTTTGGAAGAGTTTAACATCGTTTTGATATCAAGCGATTTCTGAGAACACCCAGGTCAGTTTTTTGGTATCTTTCTTCAGATTTTTTATTCTTATTCCCACCCTTTGTCTCTTTCTGTTCTTGGATAGCTAAGAGGAGTTGCAAGCTGTTATTTTTATTATATTTTTGGGTTTCGTGTTTGTGATGAAAATCTCTTTGTATTAATGTGCAACAATGTGTCTGTAGAATCTTCTTCAGATGGTGAAATGCTCTTCTTCGATGACATCATCACTCGTTTAGCTCCTCAGTTCTTACCTACTCATTTATCTGAATTCGTGTTTTTCTCTTCATTTCAACAATGGCAAACAATGGAGTGTCAGCTACAGCGTTGTCTTCTTCTTCAGGATCGTCGAATACCCTTTGGAGTGAGATCCTTGGATTGCCCATGTTGGAATTGGTGGCAATCTGTGGCAACTTGATTATGTTTCTTCTCTTTCTCTTTGTTGTTTCTGCGAGGAAGATGGTTGTGTTGGATGGAGGAAGAATTAGATTTGGCAAGGAGAATAGACCCAGTAATGGCAGCCCAATTTGTGTTAGTGTTGATGGGGGAGCACGTGACATTAGAATTGGTTCATGGTTCAAGTTGTCGATGTTGTCTTGTTTCTATGTTCTGTTGGTGCAAGTTTTGGTGTTGGGATTCGATGGGGTTGTGTTGATTAAGGGTGGTGTGGACGTGAGTTTGTCTCTTATTGCTGTGCCTCTTGCTCAGGTTTTAGCTTGGGTTGTGTTGAGCTTCTCGGCCTTGCATTGTAAATTCAAGGTGTGTGAAAAGTTTCCAATTTTGTTGAGAGTTTGGTGGTTTGTGTTGTTTGTTATTTGCTTGTGTACTTTGTATGTTGATGGGAGGGGGGTTTGGATGGAAGGTTCCAAGCACCTACGTTCTCATGTTGTGGCAAATTTTGCTGTGACTCCTGCTCTTGCTTTCTTGTGTATTGTTGCAATTAGGGGTGTTACTGGCATAAAAGTTAGTAGGAACTCAGAGCTTCAACAACCGTTACTTGACGAAGAAGAACCAGGGTGTCTCAAGGTTACTCCTTATAGTGATGCCCGGCTTTTTAGTTTGGCTACTCTGTCTTGGTTGAATGCACTTCTTTCCATTGGTGCAAAGAGACCGCTTGAGCTTAAGGACATTCCCCTTGTTGCGCCAAAAGATCGAGCCAAGACTAATTATAAGGCTTTGAATTCTAATTGGGAGAGATTGAAGGCTGAAAACCCGACAAGGCAGCCTTCGTTAGCTTGGGCACTTCTCAAATCATTCTGGAAGGAGGCAGCTTGTAATGCCATATTTGCTGGGGTCACTACACTTGTCTCATATGTTGGTCCATTTATGATAAGTTACTTTGTCGATTACTTGGTTGGCAAAGAGATTTTCCCTAATGAGGGGTATGTCCTTGCGGGGATATTCTTTGTGGCCAAGCTTGTAGAGACCTTCACCACTAGGCAGTGGTATTTAGGGGTGGACATCTTGGGTATGCATGTTAGGTCAGCTTTAACAGCGATGGTGTATAGAAAAGGGCTTAGGCTATCAAGCTTGGCCAAGCAAAGTCACACAAGTGGGGAGATTGTTAACTACATGGCTGTTGACGTTCAGAGGGTAGGGGACTACTCTTGGTATCTTCATGACATGTGGATGCTTCCTTTGCAGATTGTTCTTGCCCTTGCGATTTTGTATAAGAATGTTGGAATTGCTTCTATTGCGACATTGATTGCTACAATCATTTCCATTGTTGTCACCATACCTGTGGCCAGAATCCAAGAAGATTATCAAGACAAGTTAATGGCTGCTAAGGATGAAAGGATGAGAAAAACATCCGAGTGCCTGAGAAATATGAGGATTCTCAAGCTGCAAGCTTGGGAGGACAGATATAGAATAAGGTTGGAGGAAATGCGTGGAGTAGAGTTCAAGTGGCTTCGGAAAGCACTCTATTCTCAGGCTTTCATAACTTTCATATTTTGGAGCTCTCCCATATTTGTTTCAGCAGTCACCTTTGCTACCTCCATATTGTTGGGTGGCCATCTGACTGCAGGTGGTGTACTTTCTGCATTAGCTACTTTCAGGATCCTACAAGAACCTTTGAGGAATTTTCCAGACTTGGTGTCAACTATGGCTCAGACAAAGGTTTCTCTTGATCGATTATCTGCCTTCCTGCTGGAGGAAGAATTGCAGGAGGATGCAACTATTGTCTTGCCACAAGGCATTACTAACATTGCTATAGAAATTAAGCATGGTTTCTTCTGTTGGGACCCTTCGTCGTCTGCTAGGCCTACCCTATCAGAGATAAATATGAAAGTTGAAAGAGGGATGCGTGTGGCTGTTTGTGGTATGGTTGGTTCAGGGAAATCAAGTTTTCTTTCTTGCATCCTTGGAGAGATTCCTAAACTTTCTGGTGAAGTATGTTAGAGTACTTTAGCTTTTAATTTCATGTTTATTCTTTTAATCTGTCAATTGGCATTTTATTTGTAACAGTCTTCACAGGATGCATTGGGTTATTTTGCAGGTCAGAGTGTGTGGCTCTGCTGGATATGTCTCCCAGTCAGCATGGATACAATCAGGAAATATAGAAGAAAATATCCTCTTTGGAAGCCCAATGGACAAAGCAAAGTATAAGAATGTTCTTCATGCGTGTTCACTGAAAAAGGACCTAGAACTTTTCTCACATGGCGATCAGACAATTATTGGGGACAGAGGCATAAACCTGAGTGGTGGCCAGAAGCAGCGGGTTCAGCTTGCACGAGCACTCTACCAGGATGCAGATATTTATCTCCTTGATGATCCCTTCAGCGCAGTTGATGCTCACACTGGATCAGAATTATTTAGGGTTAGTTTTCCTTAGCATATTGTTGTTACTGTTTAAATGAATTGGATTTGCCTTAACCTATGGCATGGATCTGCAGGAGTATATATTGACAGCACTAGTAGATAAAACAGTCATTTTTGTGACCCATCAAGTTGAATTCCTTCCTGCTGCTGATTTGATACTGGTATGGCTGTATGCATTGGTCTTACACATTCATGCATCATGTAATAAGAGGCCAAGTTAATGGTTACCCTTCACTTCACATTTAAATTTTAAGATTTGTTTATTCCTTGCATGAAGGATAATTCAGGGTGTCATCTCTCATATGCCCTCCGGTATTTCAATTTAATGTTTCTCTCTTATATGTTGTTGGCGTTCGTAGTTCTCTCTATTTATAATACTTAGAGCCTGGGTTCATTTTCATTAAGTGAATGAAGTTTCAGGATCATACCCATGTATAGGGTTTATGACTTATGTTTCTTAATTTATTTACAACGTTAAAAAATGAAGTAGATTTTGACAATTATACAGTCTTACATTTACTACTTGACAGATACAATGAAAAAACATTTATAAAACAACACAGAGGAGTTCGTTTAAAGCTTAATTATATGAAAATAAATTTCTTATAAACATATCAACGGGAGATGTTACCAGCAGTAATCAAGAGGAAAAATTGATGAATTTTAGGTCCATATGAAATTGATACATGTGCAAGAAAGCTCATGAGTAAAACTCTTTTCAATTGGTCATTATATTAATCAAATCCATTGCTGATATTTTTTCTTTTTTAGCTTTGAACTTTATTTCTTACAAGTTACAACATTTATCTATACTTGCATTAATATGTTTAGTTCTTCCAATGACTAAGAAAATCCTATTCAAATGTTTCATAATAGAATTTTTATTTGTTTTTCACTTGAAGTTTGAAGTTCCAAAAGAACTTAAGACTTTATTTGGGAGTTTGGAGGGAGGGAGGAAGAAAATATTTGAAAGGAAAGGGAGGGTAATACAAAACTCCTAAGGTTTTGTTTAAGGTTTTATTTGAGAGTTGATTTTTGAGGGGAAGGGAAGGGAAAAACTTATATGATATTTAGCTATATTTGAGAGTTTTTAGAAAAGAAGGAGAGGGTTTATAAACCCTCCTAATTCTATATTTTTAAATTCCTCCAATTTGGGGGTTTAGGATTAACCCCCCTTCCCTTCCAAACTCTATCCTTCTCTCTCTCCAAACTCCTAAATAAAGTCTATATTGAAATAACTAAAGACTTTATTTCGGTGTTGGTTTTTGGGAGAAAAGGGAAAGAAGATAAAGATTTATGTGATGATTATCTTTGTTTGAGAGATTTTAGATAAGAGAAGAAGAACTTATAAACCTTCCAAAACTCTCTTAAATTCATGTTTTTAAGTTCTCCCAATTAGGGAGGTTTTGTGTAATACCTTCCTTCCTCCTCCCTTCCGCTTACCCTTCAAACGTTTTTCTTTCCTTTCTTTCCAAACTCCTAAGCAAAGCCTTAAAAATATGGGATTTTGAGAGCTTTGGGAAGTTTATAAACCATCCCCCCTCATATAAAAACTCTCAAACATGGATAAACATCACATAAACTTTTCTCTTCCCATCTTCCCAAAAACTAATTCTCAAACAAAGCATAACAGTGTGATCATGCAATTGATATGATGTGAAGATGGTTTCCTCTAAATTAAATTTTCCATTTGTGAAGGTTCTGAAGGAAGGCTGCATCATACAGGCAGGAAAGTACGATGATCTTTTACAAGCAGGAACAGATTTTAAAACTCTGGTTTCAGCTCATCATGAAGCCATCGAAGCTATGGATATCCCTACTCATTCCTCTGAAGATTCAGATGAAAACATATCCTTGGATGCATCTGTTATGATCAGTAAGAAATCCATTTGTTCTGCAAATGATATTGATAATTTGGCAAAGGAAGTGCAGGAAGGATCATCAACTTCAGATCAAAAAGCATATACGGAGAAGAAGAAAGCAAAACGGTCAAGAAAAAAACAGCTTGTTCAGGAAGAGGAGAGGGTCAGAGGTAGAGTCAGCATGAAGGTGTATTGGTCATACATGGCAGCTGCTTATAAAGGCTTATTGATTCCACTCATAATCATTGCACAAGGATTATTTCAGTTCCTTCAGATTGCTAGTAATTGGTGGATGGCTTGGGCTAACCCTCAAACAGAAGGAGACCAGCCCAAAGTAACTCCCACGGTTCTTCTTCTTGTTTACATGGCTCTTGCTTTTGGCAGTTCATGGTTTATATTTATAAGGGCTGTTCTGGTGGCTACATTTGGTCTTGCAGCTGCACAGAAGCTATTTTTGAAGATGCTTAGAAGTGTGTTCCATGCACCAATGTCTTTCTTTGATTCTACACCAGCTGGAAGGATCTTGAATCGAGTAAGTTTTTTTCTTTTACCAGCTCCTGTATAGTGAAAATTGTTGAGAAGTCCTACATATAAGACTTGAGCAATCCTCTCTCCTTGAACTAGCTTTTGGGGTTGAGATAAATCTATTCCTTTCTAATGCATATGTTAATAAAGCGTCATCTGTATTTTACCAGGTATCAGTTGATCAAAGTGTAGTGGATCTAGACATTCCTTTTAGGCTGGGTGGGTTTGCTTCAACAACAATACAGCTTATTGGTATTGTTGGTGTAATGACAGAAGTTACATGGCAAATTTTGCTCTTAGTTGTTCCAATGGCCATCGCTTGTTTGTGGATGCAGGTAATTAGAAATCTTTCAGCTTATATTCTTGCAAACTGCTTTTCTAAAAGACTTGTGCAAAAGCAAAACTGGTGCATTTTGGAAGAGAAAGAGAGTGAGAGAGTTCTATTCAAGAGGGAAAGAGAGAATACATTGACAAAAGACTAATAATTTTCCAATCTAACTGCATCCTTTTAAAAGAAATGCTTGTCTATTGACTTGTTTTGGTTTTGTGAATTGTTCTAACCATCAACTAATTCTGTTGCAGAAATACTACATGGCTTCCTCAAGGGAACTGGTCCGAATTGTAAGCATCCAGAAATCTCCAATTATACATCTTTTTGGTGAATCGATTGCTGGAGCATCCACCATAAGAGGTTTTGGACAAGAAAAAAGGTTCATGAAGCGGAACCTATATCTTCTTGATTGCTTTGCACGTCCATTCTTCTGCAGTCTTGCTGCTATTGAGTGGCTCTGCCTGCGGATGGAGTTACTTTCAACCTTTGTATTTGCTTTCTGCATGGTATTGCTTGTGAGCTTTCCCCGTGGGAGTATTGACCCAAGTAAGTACTTAGTTCTAATAACCTGTTTTGTCTCCTTATTTTCACAGCAATGTTTATAGTCCCTGACAATTAAGTTGTGTAGCATTCTATCTTTAAAGTTAGTTTTGTTTTCACAAGTGATGCTTAGACACAATGCAGAATGCAAAGTGAAGCCTTTTTCTGTTACTTATTGCTATTAATTTTTTTTCTGCGTAGGCATGGCTGGACTTGCTGTGACATATGGCCTGAATTTAAATGCACGCTTATCAAGGTGGATACTCAGCTTTTGCAAACTTGAAAATAAAATTATATCTATTGAAAGAATTTACCAGTACAGCCAAATTCCTAGCGAAGCACCAACAATAATTGAAAATTCTCACCCTCCATCCTCATGGCCAGAAAACGGGGAAATTGAAATAATTGATTTGAAGGTACGAAGCTCAGTTACATTTTTATGTCTCGTGTTTAAGTCATATATTGATTGATTATCTTCTGTTTTGAGAGGTGGAATAACTTAGTATGTTGTTGCTTGGTGTACAAGATTATTTAGTATATAATCAGAGCTGCTAGTCATGTTACATTATTAAAATATCCTTTATGAATTTTGTATTGCAACTGGCTCTTTCCAATGATGCTGTATCTCCAGGTCTCTTACCCCTACTCTGTCTCTCTTGAAGGTCCGTTACAAGGAGAATCTTCCTTTGGTGCTTCATGGAGTATCCTGTAAATTTCCTGGTGGAAAGAAGATTGGAATAGTTGGACGTACTGGAAGTGGAAAATCTACCTTAATTCAAGCGTTGTTTCGATTGATTGAACCAGCAAATGGAAGTATCCTTATAGACAACATTAATATTTCAGATATTGGCCTTCATGACCTTCGAAGCCATCTCAGTATCATACCACAAGATCCAACCTTATTTGAAGGGACCATTCGAGGCAACCTTGATCCTCTTGAGGAACACTCAGATAAAGATATTTGGGAGGTTAGTATTGCATAACTGCATGCTTTTAATTACACAGCTTGTATTATCTTTTAGTGTTATCTTTAATAGAAATGCTTATGAAGATTACTTGTGTGTGTGTGTGTGTGTGTGTGTATGTATGTGAGAAAGTAGAAAAATGTTGTTATATTCAGGTTTTGCATGCCTATATATGGTAACAGCCAAATTATTATTATTTTTACTTGAAATGGAAATATTGTTAGTAAGGAAGGAAGAAGGAACAATACTTAAAAAGGGGGAAAAATGATTACATAAAGTTAATGATATAAAGAAAACATAAGTCTCCAATACTTAGATTAGAAGTGACCTATGCAGTAAACTTCCTCAAATATCTCCACCAAAAATAATCCATGCAATGCCTCCACTATCATCATATCTAACAAACTTCCTTCATATGTGTACCTTACCCACACATGCCAAACGAACCCTTCATCTGAGTTCAATTGGGTATTTATAAGATACTTGGAATTAACAAAAAACGGGTACTGGTTTGCCCGTCCATGACTGACAAGTCATTTCAATTCCTAATTAGAAAGAGTTTTTACTCTGATGAATACCACTTTGTGTCCACAATCTTAATTTCCAACTCCAATAAACAACTTTATATCTTTACTCCTATGTAAGAACACGTAGTATATGAAAATAGACCAATAATCCTTGAATTTTTTATAATTATGGCTATTTGAATAAAAGGTTGTGCATTTTGTGATTGATTAGTTTTAATTGTTCACAGGCACTTGATAAGTCTCAGCTTGGAGATATTATCCGTGAGAAAGGACAAAAGCTTGATACACCAGGTAGGCAGCCAGAAAAAATTGGAAAACACACAGTATCTTTCCTTCCCCACCCCTTTAAAAGGGAAAAGTGTTTGGAATCACAATTAGCTATATTAACATGTATTTGGAAACTTGCAGTTCTAGAAAATGGAGATAACTGGAGTGTAGGACAGCGGCAACTCGTTTCTCTTGGCCGTGCTCTACTGAAGCAGTCAAAAATACTTGTACTTGATGAAGCTACGGCATCGGTTGATACTGCCACTGATAATCTTATCCAGAAGATTATCCGAAAGGAGTTCAAAGACTGCACTGTGTGCACCATTGCACATCGTATTCCTACTGTCATCGACAGTGATCTAGTTCTGGTGCTCAGTGACGGTGCGTATAGTAACAGTTGTGTGTTATTCTTCTGTCTGTTTTGTCTTCTTTTTGCCAACCATTTCTATAGCCACAGGCTTTGCATTATTACTCACTAGTTTGTGCTTCTAAAGTTATATCTTTTATACCTCTGCAGGGCGAGTTGCAGAGTTTGACACCCCTTCAAGACTATTAGAGGAAAAGTCATCGATGTTTCTAAAACTGGTGACGGAGTATTCATCACGTTCGAGTGGTATACCGGAAATTTAGATCAGAGGGAATATCTGTGGACTTCCACAGTGGTGGCTATAGCTTAAGACAGTTGAAGAGTTGAAACAGAAAGTGATGCCACCTTTGCATGCCACTGCTGCATTCGGGGCATGCATAGACAGAAGAAGAAAACAAAATAAAAGGGAGAGGTGGGTGCCTCCTCATCAACCAAGCATCCCAGTGGGAGAAAATTAGTTGGTTCTACCCCTTAAAAAAAATTGAGGAATTCATGCATGGTTAGCATGCTTTTGTAACACAAAATAAGATGATCTGTGATTACAGGATAGTTCCCAATTGAGTTCAATAATGTGGTAGAAAGTAGTTTGTACTATGTAGAATGAGGCACTAGGCTTTTGCTTAGAAAAGTGTAGAGTTAAAACTAGTCTTGTGTATTCCACAATTTTCTTGTAGTCAAGGTTTTAGAATTAAGCCATTGAAAGCTCAGATTCCTCCATCACCCAAATATAATTTGTATTGGTTCTTTTCTTCTAAAAAGCTTTTTTTTTTTTTTCTTTATTGTTATTAGTAGTTAAGAATCCTTTGCAGTATAATGCAACGAATAGTATTTCTTTACTAGACTGCCATGAAAATCAGATCATGATTTCACTATACAATGTGGATGTGTGAATTTTTAGAACATCAAGGTTCCAGTTCTGGACCAATTTTCATTATGGTTCAATGGTGACCGAACTAAACATGATTAAATTTATACACTTTTATACTATATTACATCAAGCCGCAATTTTTGGCTCAATTTTCATGACAATGCTTCTAAATTATTGTTCCTTTGTTAGCTGTCTTCTAATCTTCGATTAGGCGTCCTGTTGCTGATTTGATGATAGGGAGAATACCTGCAAAAGGTACTCCGATGATAAAGTCAGGATTCGGTTCTGAACAATAAATGTTATTTAATGATCTGAAGTCAACCACTAACCTGTATTTCTTATCTTCTTTTTATAGACATTCTTTGGGCTAATGGGCCTGAGTCAATTTTTATATTTGAGGCCCATAGTATTTTTGATTATCTTTAATTTAGATTATTTACCTTTTAATCCTGACTAGGGGTACCGGCCTAGTATGCCGAGTAGGTATTCGGTTTCTTTTTGCTGATGGTGGGACCGAGTTGATTCCTTTCCCAGTACACTAGCCCCACAAGCCCGGCGAGTTGCGAAGTAAGGGCTTTAAAAAATGGAGATGGTAATATAGGTATCCGGTTGGAGTGCTTTTTATTGTACTGAGGGGGTCATCGTGGGGGTGTCCGGTCTCAATTGATGGTAACGTTTTGGTGTATTAATTTACACTGAGGAGTAGTCGATTTAGTAACAATACGGTATAGGCCGAGATTATAAATTTGCTGAGGAATATTCTAGAATGTTGGTTTTGAGGATTTGTCAGAGGGGATGTGAAACGAAGGGGTGCTCCATCTCCTCCGTTGATCTGGAAGGGATCTGATGGTTTGAAATGAAAGGGCGTCTTTTCGTTTGCCCGACATCAGTCCCTTATAAATATGTGGTGGTCCCTCATCCCTTTCTTACTCTTTTGCTCTGTGCCGAACCCTGCATATCTTTGCTCCAAACCGACTAGTGTTCAGAGATCCTAGGCTTTTCTTCTCTACCGACTACTAGCAAGGTGCGTTTCATTTTCTTCTTAACTTCTTTTCTATCATGGCTGATCGTATTGAGTGGGAGGATTCCTTGTCGGATGTCTCGGGGCCGGGTACCATTGAGGTTGATATTATGAATGGAACCGAGGGGAGTGGCGAGGTTTTGTCTATTTCAAACCGGAGGGCTGAAGAGGCACAAGTCGGCGAAGGCAGTAGCGAAGCCGAGACCTCATCGTCCAGTGATACTGACGCTCCTGAACCTCTTCCCAGCACTAGTCCTCCTCGGGAAAGGCAGGTGTTTCCTCCCTGCACGGTGCCTGGTTATGAGTGGGTACACGGTGAAGTGGCCGCCTACTTTTCTCGTTTCAAAAGAAATAAAAGTCTTCAATTTTTTGTAGATAATTGTGATATTTCTTTATGGGAGGCTTGTGACCCGTACCCTATACACCTTGATCCTTGTCAGGGGGACGAGGGCGAGAACCCAGACTTTGTTTTCTTGGGAGGTGTCGGAATGGCCGACACCTTCTTTATGTATGAATATATGTTTAGGGAATTAGGTATCAGGCTCCCTTTTGACGATTTCCAAATGGGGGTTTTGAATGTAGCGCCAACACAACTACATCCGAACGGGTGGGCGGCAATTCAAGCCTTTAGAATACTTTGTAAATTCCATTATATAGAGCCTAGTGTAGGTCTTTTTTTTCATTTTTTTTGTACGCGTCCATCCGACCTGGCGAGGTGGGTTTCTCTAATAAGGCAACCCGAGTTGCCCCTCTTTAAGCCATACGCGTCGTCTTTTAAGGGTTTCAAAACCGGTTTCTTCAAGGTAACCGTGGACCCTGTAGGTAAAAATTATTTTTTTGATAGCGAGGGCAATCCCCTATTTCCTTTTCACTGGACTCGGGTGCCGCGCTGATACGACACATACCCTGAGGATATGTTATTGGCTAGGGAGCTGTCGGATTTGCAATTCTTGAAGTCCCTTCCCCGAGACATTCCTGCCCGACATGTAGTCCTTGTTCTCAAGTCTCCGCGTCCTCGGTGGGATATGGAGGGTATGTGTTATTTCGTTTCTGACTTGTATTTGGAATTGAGCTATATTGATTTGACTTGCTATTGTTAATGCAGGTTTAATGGCTCAAAGAGGTGTGGATGTGCCGACCTTCCGGCGTACTTTGAAGCAGAGAATGCCCGAAGGGACGCCCGTTGAGGAGCACCGTCATCCTCAAATCGACCAACTTCCCGAGGTGCCGGAACTTCGCCCTCCTCCCCAAGATTTTGTTCCAGCCGAAGGCCCTTCCAAGAAACGCAAGGAAAAGGGCAAAAGCAAGGAGCCCGAAAGGGAGAGGAAGAGGCGACACGCCCACTCGGGTGAGCCTAGCGGCGTTCAAGGGGCTCGGAGTCAGACCCGAGTGGTAGCTGCTGGGGAGGGGAGCAGCTCTCCCGTAGTTCCCTTGGACATGCTAGCCGAGGGGTTCTTGGTAAGCGGGACACATACTGGTCGGCTTGCTGCTCCGAACTTGTTATCTGATGCAGGGAAGGAACTGGTCGGCGGTTTGGACTATGAGTCTATGTGGCGCTACTACGCAGAACTTCATGTACGGTCCACCGCAATGCTCCGAAGGCTAGTTGTGGATCCCATTCTCGAAGTTAAGAAGTTGAAGGCCGCCCATTCGGTTTCTGAAGAGGCTTTGGCCGAGAGTAGAGAGATTCAAGCTAGCCTGGACGAGACCGTTCAATCCCTGCAGGGTCAGGTTAATCAATACAAAGAGCACTTTCAAATAATGGAGGACCGAGTACATGCGGCCGAGGAGGTGGCGAGGGTCCGGGGGGAGGAGATGGAGGCGTTGAAGGCAAAGTCCTGTCAAATGGAAGAGGCTTTACGGGCCAAATCTGCCGAGATGGAAGAAGCCCTGGCGCTGGAGAGGCAAAAGGCTGAAACTGAGATGAGAAACTTTGCTGAGAAGTGTTCTTAGCAAGTATCTTACGAGCATGAAGCCGGTTTTAACCACGCTATTCGACAGTGTCATGGGTTCTGCCAAGTACCGGTAGGTTTTCATTTTGACATTACAAAGGATTTTTTCGGCGGGAGGTTCATTCCTTACACCGAGGTTGAGGATGATGTAGAACCCGACGTCGAAGTGCCGAGACGTCTCCCTGAGGTTACCGCCAACCCTGAGGTGGCCGCTCCCGAGGCGGTAGAGAGAATAGAGAGTTAAATTACTCTTCCTTTGTATTCATGGGCCATTAGTGCCCACATTTTGTAACCAGTTTTTTGTTTGAAATAGAATTTACCCTTTTTCTCATGCTTTGTATTTTGTCACGCAACTTGTCCTAACAACCTTTACGATATGCTTAATATTATCATACTTAGCCAAATAACTTGGATACGATTTACCCTTAATATACTCATTTTTAGCCGAGTAGAAGACGAGGAGATGATCTCGTTTTTTTTAAAAAAATTTAGCTTTAACTAAGAACTCCTCCTAATTTGTTAATTTTGACGAGCATGAGAGTATTCGGGATTGAGATATGTCGACCTTTAGTAGAGAGATGCTTGAAAGAAAAATAATTCACACTTGACCGAGTAGGGGTACTCGGCAGGGGAATATAATTGCTGCATCCTTGACCGAGTGTGGTACTCGGGAGTGAAACCATTCAACCTTGGCCAAGTGAAAACTTGGGAGGGAATGGTGTTTGAAAGGTATATAATGCGTAAAAAACCGTATAGGTGAAGAAAGAGAAATTTTATTGATTAGGTGCCTCGTTAAAAACCTTCTCAGGAAAACCCCTTTTCACTTTCTTTTAAGAGGATAAAACCTGGGATAGGAAAAGAGTACACCTATGCACGTATTACAAGGTTTTAGCTATAATAATGCTTTAAATGAGTGACATTCTAGGTTCTTGGTATTAATTTTCCTGCCAGGGTTTCCAATTTGTATGCTCCATTATTTAATCTTGCTGCTACTCGAAAGGGGCCTTCCCAGTTGGCTGCCAACTTCCCTTCTTGTCGATCCTTGCACGCGTCCCCGGTTACTCGCCACACTAGGTCGTTTTTGTAGAATTGTCGTGGACTTATTTTGGAGTTGAATTTTCTAGCCATCATTCTTTTACTAGCCTCAGTCATGATGGCAGCGCGGTCACGGATCTCATCTATCAAGTCCAGGTTAACGGCCAGAGCCTCTTCATTGGCCGATTCCTTGAAATTCTCTCTCCTGAATGACGGCTCTCCAATTTCTACCGGTATCATGGCATCAGTACCATATGTAAGCCGAAAGGGGGTTTCTTTTGTTGTGGTCTGCGGCGTGCACCGATAGGCCCATAAAATCTCAGGCAGCTTCTCTGCCCATTCTCCCTTTGCCGAATCCAACCTCATTTTTAATTCATGCAAGATCACTTTGTTGGCAGCCTCGGCTTGGCCATTCGTCTGCGGATGTTCAACAGATGTAACTCTATGTTTGATATGCAGGCCAGCCAAGAACTCGTTGAATCTTCGATTTGCAAACTAAAGCCCATTATCTGTAATCAGTGCATGAGGGAGACCGAACCGTGTTATGATGTTTTTCCAAGTGAATTTTTGCACGTTATGGGCCGTGATTGATGCTAGGGGTTCGGCCTCAATCCATTTGGTAAAGTAGTCCACGGCAACGAGGAGGAATTTACATTGCCCTTTTGCCAAGGGGAATGGGCCGAGGAGGTCCATTCCCCAAATAGCGAAGGGCCAAGGAGCGATAATGTGCCGAAGGGTATCGGCGTATTGGCGCAGGTGAGGGCCGTATTATTGACAAGGAATGCATCTTTTTACAAACAATTGACAGTCTTGAGTTATTGTTGGCCAGTAGTATCCGGCCCTGAGCATTTTGGCTGCCATAGTTCGTCCGCCCGAATGGGTTCCACAAATACCTTTATGGATTTCTCTCATCACGTACTTAGCTTGATCGTCTTCTAGGCATTTAAGCATGGGGGTGGAAATTCCTCTTCGATACAATTCTTTACCGAGAAGAAGGTATTTGGCTGCATGTGCTTTAATTTTCCTAGCTGCTGCTGCGTCCTGTGGGAGACTGTCATCAGTGAGGTATTGGACCAGGGGGGTCATCCAATTATGGGATGAATTTTCTATGTCCATGCATTCTCGCTTGGTGATACTAGGTTGGGGGATTTGTTGGTAAACCATGCTCTGCAGCTGCCCTGGTTTCCATTGGCTAGCCAGCCTAGCTAGCCTGTCGGCTCGTGCGTTCATGTTTCGAGGTGTGTACCGAATGCATACCTCCTTAAACTCGGTTTTTATTTTCTTAACCTCCTGGCAATATTTAAGCATGACCGAGTCCCTGGTCTAATAGGTATCATTTACTTGTTCGGTTACAACTTTTGAATCACTCCAAGCAGTAATGCGTTTAACCCCCATTTCCCTTGCTAGTCTGAGACCAGCGAGTAAAGCTTCATATTCGGCTTGATTGTTGGATGCCTTAAATCCGAACCGGATAGACTGTTCAATGGCGAACGCATTTGGTCCTTCAAGAATGACCCCCGCTCCACTGCCTGATTGATTTGATGATCCATCAACATGTAGGTTCCACATGTCTGAAATGGTATTATGTTGTGTCGTAAACTCGTTGATGAAGTCGGCTAATAGCTGGGCTTTAAGGGGGCGTCGGTTCTCGAAATGGATGTCATATTGGGATAATTCAATTGTCCATGTCACCAACCGACCAACCAATTCTGGTTTTCTCAAAATTTTGGCCATCGGACAATCTGTACGGACTATCATTCGATGGCTCTAGAAGTAGTGCCTTAACCTACGAGGTGTGTGGACTAAGGCAAGTACCACTTTCTCCACTAACTGGTACCGAGATTCAGGACCCTGAAGTGTCCTGCTAACGAAATATACGGGGTTCGGTTCGGGTGTTTCTTGAAGTAAGACCGAACTGACGGCGTGATCGGACACGGACAAATAAACAATCATTTCCAGATTCGAAATTGGTTTAATCAACGCAGGTGGTGCGGCCAGCATATGCTTGTACTGTACAAAGGCGTCCTCACATTCATTGGTCCATGCAAATTTTTGCGATTTCTTCAACAATTCAATGAAAGGCCAAGACCTTTCTGCCATTATTGGCAAGAATCTAGCCAAAGCTGCAATCCACCCGGTCAGTCGTTGCACGTCCTTGATATTGCGAGGGCTGGCCATGTCGATGATGGCTTTACATTTGTCGGGATTTGCCTCAATTCCCCTTTCGGACAACATGAAGCCCAGGAATTTACCGCCAGCTACACCAAATGTACATTTTTCAGGATTGAACCTCATACCATGTTTTCTGGCTTCTCCGAATACCTCCTTTAAGTGGTCAAGATGTTGCTTTAATGCAAGGGATTTAATTACCATGTCGTCTACATACACTTCCATGCATTTACCCACTTGTTTTTCAAAAATTTTGTTCATAAGTCGCTGGTAGGTTGCTCCTGCATTCTTCAACCCGAACGGCATCACCCGATAACAATAATTTGCAGAATTTGTGATGAATGCTATTTTTTCCTCATCGGGGGGGTACATTCGTATTTGATTGTACCCAGAATAAGCATCTAAAAAGCTCAGTATTTTGTGACCGGCAGCACCATCAACCAAGGTGTTAATGTTTGGTAGGGGGTATGCATCTTTTGGGCATGCTTTATTGAGGTCCGTGAAGTCCGTGCACATTCGCCACTTGCCATTGGCTTTTTTGACCATGACAACGTTGGCTAACCATGTTGAATACCTGACCTCTCGGATGAAACCGGCCTGTATTAGTTTGCTGGTTTCTTCTCTTACCGCCTTTGCTCTATCACCACCAATTTTTCTCCTTTTTTGAGCTACCGGTTTGGCCCCTTTATAGACCGATAAGTGGTGGTATAGGAATGCTGGATCAATGCCAGGCATATCCGAGGCTGTCCAGGCAAACAAGTCGGCATTATCTACCAGCATCTTTTGGAGAATGGCTTTCTCTTGCTCGTTCAAACCGATCCCCAAATACGCAATTTGTTCTGGCCTTGTTCCTAGTTGGAAAGATTGTTTGTTTTCATTGGGCTCAACTCGGTATTCCTCATCCACTCTAGGATCGAGTTCAAAATCCAACTCTTCTTCCAACCGAGGGGATACAATATTGACATCCCGGGTATTCCCTGAAAGGGTTTAAGGCGTAAACTTGCGAAGTAACATTCTCTGGCTGTTTTTTGATCGGCATGGACGGTAACAATTCAGCCTCTTTCAGACGGAAATTTCATGGCCAAGTACGGAGTGGAAACTATGGCCTTCAATTTGTTCAGGGACGGTCTACCGAGTAGTATATTATAAGATATGTTCGCATGTACTACAAGATAAGTGACTCTTATGCGTTTGCCCTCGTGCTCTGATCCAAAGGCCGTATACAAGTCGATACACCCCTTGGTCTCTACTCGTTCTCCGGAAAAACCGACCAACGGCTCATGATATTCCTTGAGTTCTTGTTCTGAGATGCCTAATTGCTTGAATGTATTCCAGTATAGGATATCAGCCGAGCTCCCTTGGTCTATTAGCGTTTTTCGGACAGTGCAGTTAAGAATGTCTACACTAATTACCATGGGATCATCCTGTACCGGGTCGACTCCTTGAAAGTCGTCGTCAGTGAACGTAATAGGCGGGATTCGGATCTTGCTGCCCAATGAAACATTATTCACAGAACGGACATTCCGAAGATGCCTCTTCCTAGCCGAATGGGTAGATCCTCCACCAGCGAACCCTCCGGCTATGGTGTTAATGACCCTCTTCGGATATTTATCTTGTTCATATCTTCTTGGTGGGGGCTCCCTGGACCTGCTCCTGGGCCGTTCAAATTTTTTGGCGTCGGATCTCTTTGGTGAATCGGGGTGGCTGTTTCTTCCTTTGTTGTATTGCCTTGCGGGATCTGTCTGTACAAAATTTTTCAGGTGTCCATCTTTGATCAATTCTTCAATTTTGTCTCTTAGTGCCGCACACTCCTCGGTAGTGTGACCCCTGTTCTGATGATACCGGCAAGACTTGCTTTTATCCGCTCGAGGAGGGGTGTTAGCACGTCTAGGCATTCTCAATATTTCTGTGGCCAACGCTTGGTCAAGTATTCTGGACTGATTAGAGTTGAGAGTCGTGTAGGAGGGATACTTCGGTCCTCGTGGTGGTCGTTCGAGTTCCTTTCCTCTGTCGTTCCCCCGCCTTGTTTTAAAGATCTCCCTTCTTTCTTCATTTTTTGAGTTGGGTCCTTGTTCCATCTGTACCTGGCTCTGGTATTCGGATAGTTCTTCCATTTGCATATATTTCGCAGCCCGGCTCCTTAACTCGTCTAGGTCGACTGGGGGTTTTTTGCAGAGGCTATTAACGAAGGGTCTCGATTTCAGCGCTGTTGTTAGATGGTGCATAGCCACTGCTGGTTCTAAATTATGGATTGAAAGAGTCACTTTGCCAAAGCGTTCCATGAACGCTCTAAGTGATTCACCTTTCTCTTGGCGAATATTGACTAGGGCCAAGGATGTTAGTGGATGGGGCCGGCTTGTGGTGAACTGCAGGTTGAAACGTCTTGTGAGAGTTGCGAACGAGTCGACGGAGAGGGGGGGAGTCGAGTGAACCAACTAAGTGCAGGTCCTCGGAGCGAAGTAGGAAAGATTCTGCACCATAAGGCGTCGCTTTCTGTGTACAGACCGACCTGCGTTGTAAATATGTCCACATGTTCTCCGGGGTCGGATGTGCCATCGTATTTGTCTATTACCAACCCTCTCCAATTGTCGGGCAGCTTGGCTTCTAGAATGCGGTGAACGAATGGGCTCCGGTTCATAAGTTCATCTCGGTCGTTTTCGGTTACCGATTGATATACCTGTCTTGATTTTTCTTGCAGCGCTGATGATTCTCCTTGATCTTGGACGACGGTGGTAGTAAGGGAGGGGACGTGTGTCCTTATTTCCTCCCTTAGGCCGGTATTTTCCCTTCGTAGGGCTGAGAGTTCCAGTGCATCCCTTTCGTGATCCTTCTTCATCTCCTCCATTTCTGCCCTTAGCTGCCTCAGTACAGCTAGGATGCTTTCTTCCGTTCCTCCCTGTATCACTACTTCCGGTACTAGTTCCTCTGGCGTGACGCCCTCCATTTGTTGCCTAGAGGTCCCTTCCTGCTGGCTTCTCGTCATTACCATGCTTAATCCTGAGTGACGAAGTTAATCACGCCCCACGGTGGGCGCCAAAATGTTCCTTTGTTAGCTGTCTTCTAATCTCCGATCAGGCGTCCTGCTGCTGATTTGATGATAGGGAGAATACCTGCAAAAGGTACTCCGATGATAAAGTCAGGATTCGGTTCTAAACAATAAATGTTATTTAATGATCTGAAGTCAACCACTAACCTGTATTTCTTATCTTCTTTTTATAGACATTCTTTGGGCTAATGGGCCTGAGTCAATTTTTACATTTGAAGCCCATAGTATTTTTGATTATCTTTAATTTGGATTATTTACCTTTTAATCCTGACTAGGGTTACCGGCCTAGTATGCCGAGTAGGTATTCGGTTTCTTTTTGCTGATGGTGGGACCGAGTTGATTCCTTTCCCAGTACAATTATAATATTTGCAGTTGCCTAACATGTTAGTCCTAAATTTTAATGAATTTTTGGTTTTATTCCCTTTTAATATATATATTGTTTTAGTTCCTTTTTTTTAATGAACTTTTGTTTAGTTCTTATTTGGTTACTAAGATGTCAAATGTCAATGTCAATTTTCGGTTGGATTATGTTAGTTAAAACATTAATTTGTTAAAATGTAGAGATCAAAACTAAAAAATTTCTAAAATGTAGAAACTAAAAGTATATTTAAGCTTTATTTCAAAAACTATTTTCGGATTAACTTCTAAATAATCTGAACTCTGATTAGAGAGTGTAGCACAAGTGAAATGGATATTAAGTTACCTTTTTCTTTCGAACTAGATCTGATCTAATTTGCAAATACCTCTACCATGCATCAATGAATGGTTTTGTCCGTGCAGGGTTATTTATCTAGAAGATATTGATTAATAAAACTGAGTTAAAATCCTATTTATGTACATTTATAGACTTTGGGTGCATAGTGAAAACTGTACTTTAGCTAGGCAGCAGATGATCAAATAAGATTTGTATACTAGGTGGCCCTAACTTAGAAAATAGAAATTTAAGAACGTGTATCATTGATTATGTGATGTAGATGTGTCAGATTATGTGGCTCACAATCACACGTCTGTTTTGCACGGTAGCTATGCATCACTTGGTCTTTCTGTACGTATGATTCGGTGATGGATTGAAAATTTTCTATTACTGTTGATAGGACATAAATTTAGTCCATATTATTATTTTTGTTAAGTGTTAAATTAAATCAGCGCTGTCACATGTCGATTTTTAAATATTCTCTTATCTTGAGAAATTAAACTATATTTCAAATTGAGGTAAGATTTGCCATACACATCTAGATAAAAATAAAGTTTTTTCTGTTGCTCCTAACTCACAAGAGATGTATGCACTACAGTTAAAAATTATGGAAATTTAATCATAATTTAATCTAGAAAGAAACAAAAATAAAATAAAATCATAGAACACCAAAATTGTCTCTTCAAAATTGGAAGTTACAAGGCAGCCCAATCTAATTTGAATAGCTTGGGGTAGATTATTTTGGCACTTGAGTGTACTTCAAGACATTCCAAGAGAACAATGTGTTTCCTTCGGCAGGAGGGAACCTCAAGATCTAATCTAAGTTACATAAAAGTGAAAAAATTAAAGCATGATGATAGCATATCAAATGGCATCAAGTGATGGTGTCTTATTCTCACTCTCTCTGGTGATGACTCAGTGATGGACTCAAAATCCAAGCATGGCTCGTTCGAATACGTTAATTTGGATGGAAGAAACGTTGGTGCAACAATGCGCTTGCAGCATAGAACCACAAAGGGTGAGGCAAAAGATTGTTGTTGCATCAACATTTATGTAAACAACAATGTTCAGGGTGTCTCAAATTCAGTGTTGCGTGATAGTGAGGTGAGGATGATAGACCCAGGAATTAGTTTATACTTTGAAAGCTTGAAGCTTGATAAAGGAACTACCTCATGCAACAAGACACTTTGTTGGGGTAACAAACTTGGATTTTGCCTTTGCATGTTTAATTTTTTGGCTCTTCTGTTTCTCTTAGTGCTTCTATTCTCAACTAGAATCATCATTATTGTCGTTTAGTTAAACAAGCTAATTAAATTCATTTTTGAGTTGTTGAATTTATTTGGTAATGCTAATTATGTGTTCATGTTTGACTTCAATTTTTGGTTTAATTTCTATTGTGAATGTCAACCTTAAGAACGTTGAAATCATGATTATATAACATTATTAACAAACTCCAGATAGAGACAACATTATTTTCAACCAAAAAGAGCTCTCATAATTGGAGATGTAGAATTATTAATATGGCCTTACATTGGATGAACAAGTGGTGTATTAAATGTTTGGTTTTGATGAGTTAGTGGTAGCCCACTCTTATGTTGGAGATCCTTCGTTGACGCCTAACCACAAGACACTGTTCCATCACGTAGGGTTTTATATTTCCTTTTCAACGTTCAATGCACGTAAATCACGACCACGCCTATGTTAATTTGAAAAGACATCCACAAATTCTCTTTTTCAATTTTCATATTTCTGATCCATGGGCATGGAAGATCAGAGCTCAAGAGCAAGCTTATAATGCAATAAAACATGTATCGCATTAAGCTGATTTTTACTTTTTTTTAGCAATATATTAAGCTTAATTTTTAATACAAATTATTATTTTAAATATTTTAAATTAATAAATTATATATATATATATATATATATACTGTCAAATACGTAAATAAACTTACATATATTATTTCAGTTTAATTGGTAGTGTTAGTATTTTTAATATTAATATTTTATTTCAATATCGTGATTGATGTATTTATTACAATAAAAATAAGTATCATTTTGACATTTATACTGTAGAAAGTTTGGTCTCTCAAATTAAACATATAAATGTGAAAATTTTCACTAATTCAATTAAATGGGATATCATACGAAAATGACATTTTTTTGACGAAATCAAAGTAACTAAGGGGTGATGGAATCGAAGCAAAAGGTTGGATAAATTATAGGCGTGATTGAAGGCATTGTTAGTGAGTGTCACTTTGTGGGTGTTTGGTTATGAATTATGAAATATGATGTGTGAATTTCAAGAGAGTGATTAATGGACTGCCCTTAATTTAATGTGTGATGTATCTAACCAGTTGTTCCCTTTTTTCAGCCTCCTCTTCATTGCCTGCCATGTGGCTGCTCATCAGTAATTTCTGAATATTTTTTAGTCATTTAAATATAATTTTTACTATTTTTTATAATGTTAAGATATCAAGTATACACTTCCTTCATTATATTAAACTTTTTAATTAAAATTTAACTTTAATACACTTTCAAGTATAAAAATTTTCAAATGCACAACACATACACCAGATCAGATAACCTTCGCAAGTGCAATCTTGTTGAAATTTAAAATATTTTTAATAATTAATATAAACTACTCTTCAAGTTTGATGAAATGTAAGAGAATCTCATTTTCAGTGTAAAGTTGCACTCTCATGTGTTATTAAATGATAATAGTAAGATAAAAATCATAATCTAACTCTTGATAACTGAAGTCTACAATTAAGTAAAATCAATCACCCACAAGTATAAAAAGGCAAATTGGAGGCAAAACAAAACATGTGCTTGTGTGATATAGATGCTAAGGCACATAACAATTGCATATCTTGCACTCCAAACCTCACATGATTAGACACTTATTGAGGTTTTTAACAAGTGATGCTTTGGTCGGTGCAAACCTCAACCTCAGAGAGATAATCAAATTACCAAACAACTTTTCTCTAATCATTAATCACTGTCTTTAACAAGGAAAGCCACTTTGCGAACCCCATAACCTTCAACTTTCTACCTTTGCTATGGCCTAACAGCCTTCAATTTTATTTGCCTCCTAATATAACATATGCTAAACCCAAGTAGATGAGGCTTGTAAGTGGCATGTGATTTCAACTTCAAGTAATTATGATAAAAATCAAATTAATTTGCACTAAGAATGATGTTATTTGTCATTACATTAAACCTCAAGGGTGCTTTATGTTAATTATCCTATAATTTTTAATTTAATCCAACAACATATGTATAATTTTAATGGGCGATGCGTATGTATTAATTTTGTAATAAACTGAGTATTGTACTACACATAAAAATTTATATAAATAAATGGTTTTCATCTGAGTTCACTAGTCATCTATCACACGTATATGTCAAGCAAACACCAAGCCCAATTGGACGATCTATGCTCTATATTTTTTGGCTATCCAAAGTTGCAAATGGGTGTTTTTGCCGTTTCAAGCACGCTTAAACCTAGGAAGTATGAAAAATAGCTAATTTTCCCATTAATAATACTAAAAAATTGTAATGTTTTTTGAGTGATATGGTGAAACTCTGGTAACCTCAAAAGAATGAGCTCACACAGGATGAGGTATGACTATGAGATTCTTGTGATGCAGTCAAATGCGTTGTTGACAACAAGGGATAGAGATTTTACCTGCATATGTCCTCTAACATTTAGTGCGTACAGTATTAGCAATAGTAAGTTCAATGAAACACCAATATATTTAATGATGTTGGCTTATTATACTATTATCAAATGTAAGTGACACAGAATTAGAGTAATTATAATCTCACGTGGTACATATACACACACACACACACAAAGTTGCATCTGTTTATGTTCAGGTAAACGTCAAATTGGTCAGTAACAGTATCTAATCTACTAGCTTGTTAGCTTACCAAGGCGCATGATTTGTCCTTAATTTTGAATCTTTTTTAATAATTAACCCATAATTTTTAGGAAAAATAATCTTATATTTTTGTAGTATTATTTTAGTAAAAAAATTATTATTATGAGTACTAAAATTACTCTTTTTATAGTATATTTGATTGGTTATCTTACTCTCTAAAAATTATTAATTAAAATTAAAATATATTTAATATCTCGAAAATATAAAAAAGAAATTTAATATGAAGTTTTCTTTTTTATAATAACAAGTAGCAAAAATGTAGCTCAGTGAAAGAAAATGATTTTGTCTTTGTTATATTCAATAACACACGTTTAGTTACGTAATCATTTCATTATTTTACTTCCAGGAAGAGTTCTTACGTTTTCAGGGGATCAAAAGTTTTCCAAGTGATAAATGCTTCATATATACAGTATGATTTATGTCGTATTTATCTAAGAATGACTTGTTATTTGGTGTGATTAATCTTGATTTAAATTCAAACACTTAATCCTATTTTGCTTGTGAACACAATTGATCCTAAATAATTTCCAAATCTCTAGAAACACACACTACCCCTAACAACCCCACAAGATATAAATTGTATTAGCTAAGCTCTTCTGATAAGTAGCATGAGCAATGATTAGGTTTTCATAATCATAATCATAATCATGATTAAGTGGACAAGTAATTGCTTACTTCTCCAAGTGTACTAACAAAATAGGGGGAAGAAGGACCAATGTGTTACATTGACGAAGTACTATAGTTTGGGCAAACCGACACGTGACAGTATGTGTCAGAATATAAGAGGTCACCGACACGCGATATTAGCCAGCGCACGTTGCTAACGTGCACCTCCCTTTTCTCTCTCCTTCATCCCTCGTTTCATTTATCCATCCTTCTTCGCTCCTCTCTGCAGATTCTGCACTCCTTTCTCTCTTCCCTGTTTTTCTGCACCTGATCTAACCTCGATTCCTCAAATTAAATCTCGTAACTCACCCTTATTCCTCGATATTCGTGTTCATCTTCCTGCTACCACACTCTTCTTCCCTTTCCCCGTTTTCAGAAAACCCCCAATTTCCTCACTCCCCAAACCATTGAGTTCTAGGGTTTCGATTGATCCATGAATCGTGATTACTGGATCGGAACTGGAATGAAATGAGACGGCGCCCCGTGGCGGGATTTCTCCCCGAACAAATGGAGAAATCAACGAGCAAGAATCACAATTCCAGAATTTGCTTCCTCGCTTCTCTCTCTGCGTTCTTCTGGTTCTTGCTCCTCTACTTCCATTTCGTTGTCCTCGGTGAGCAGTCCACCAAAATAGGTCAAGTTCCCGTCAATATCGAATCCCACCAACTTCAACAACAACTTACACAACCGTTCCAGAACCCTCCCCGGAAGAACATTGGGTTCCCTCATGTGGAGGAAGTGAAAACCCCTTCAAAAAGTTTCAATTTCCCCTTTATGAGAGCCCTAAGAACTGCTGAGAACAAGAGTGATCCTTGTGGAGGGAGGTATATATATGTGCATGATCTTCCCTCCAGGTTCAACGAGGACATGTTGAAGGAGTGCAAAAGTTTGAGTCTTTGGACCAACATGTGCAAGTTCACCACCAATGCTGGTCTTGGGCCACCCCTTGAGAATGTCGATGGTGTTTTCTCTGATACTGGTTGGTATGCCACTAATCAGTTTGCTGTTGATGTGATATTCAGTAACAGGATGAAGCAGTATGAATGCTTGACTCGTGATTCATCCATTGCTGCTGCAATCTTTGTGCCCTTTTATGCTGGTTTTGACATTGCACGTTATCTTTGGGGTTACAATATCTCCATGAGGGATGCTGCATCGCTTGATCTTGTTGATTGGCTCATGAAGAGGCCTGAGTGGAGCATCATGAATGGGAGAGACCATTTTCTTGTTGCTGGGAGGATAACATGGGATTTCAGGAGATTGACAGAAGAGGAATCGGATTGGGGGAACAAGCTTTTGTTTTTGCCTGCTGCTAAGAACATGTCTATGCTTGTGGTGGAATCGAGTCCTTGGAACGCTAATGACTTTGGGATTCCTTATCCCACTTATTTCCACCCTGCAAAAGATGATGATGTGTTCATTTGGCAGGAGAGGATGAGAAGGTTAGAGAGGAAGTGGCTTTTCTCCTTTGCTGGGGCGCCACGTCCTGATAACCCCAAATCCATTAGGGGACAGATAATTGACCAATGCAAGAGATCGAAGGTTGGGAAGTTGTTAGAGTGTGATTTTGGGGAGAGCAAGTGTCATTCTCCCAGCAGCATAATGCAGATGTTTCAGGGGTCCCTTTTCTGCCTTCAACCGCAGGGTGATTCCTACACCAGAAGATCTGCTTTTGATTCAATGCTGGCTGGTTGTATACCTGTCTTTTTCCATCCGGGTTCGGCTTATACGCAATACACTTGGCATCTTCCTAAGAATTATACCAAGTATTCTGTGTTCATTCCTGAGGATGATATTAGGAAGAGGAATGTCAGCATTGAGGAGAGGCTTAGTCAGATTCCTCCTGAGCAAGTGAGGATCATGAGGGAGGAGGTCATTAGTCTCATTCCAAGACTAGTGTATGCAGATCCTCGTTCTAAATTAGAAACTCTTAAGGATGCATTTGATGTTTCTGTACAAGCAGTGATTGACAAGGTTACCAATTTGAGGAAGGATATCATTGAAGATCGCATTGATGAAAACTTCATTGAGGAGAACAGTTGGAAATATGCATTGTTGGATGAGGGACAGCGTGAGGTTGGACCTCATGAATGGGATCCTTTCTTCTCCAAACCGAAGGATGGCAGCGGGGATTCTGGTGATTCTTCTGCTGAAGCTGCAAAAAATTCGTGGAAAAATGAGCAAAGAAATCAATCATGATTCATGAAGGGGAGATAAAAGTTGCATCTGCAGGTTTTCTTAATTGTGGTTCAATGCTGACACTAATGATTTCCCTGAATTAAGGAAGAATTACAGCTATAAAATAATTGCTGGGTCCTTCCTGTGGTCTTACTGCAGAACGTGCATTCGAGTTTATTGACCAGGATTCATCATTGAAAACCCCTAGCATGGAGAGATATTCTCCGCTTTCTACAGTTTTGTTATATAGATAATTTTTCTGATTTCCGTCTTATGTATTCTCCTTAGTGGTTCCTAGATGTATTTTCCAATGTTTAATAATTTATTTGATAGAATATATTTTTCCACTTAATTCATACAGGAAGTATACACAAATTTATGGTTCACGGTTAGTTGAAGTGTGCACTTGATTGGTTCATTTGGCAGCTCTTACCTGTGTTAATGAATTTATTGAATCGTGGCTAGCATTCAAAAGATAGATTCGTCTTTTTTCATGATAGGGAAAACATGTCTTTCGCTTACTAAATCTATTTTTCAAATTGTTGGTTTTTCTTTTCTAATAGCTAAAATCATACGTGTTTTTGGGTTGCATTAATCTTTTGTTACAGGCATGCGTCTGTTGAATTGGTTTGCCTTGTGCAGCTAGTCATAACATGTAATCAGAGAAAACTGTTGGCTATTTCGTTGATAACTGCTGCTTCTGGTTTGTATAATTCTTGTTTCTGATGCTTTCATTTTTGTCACAAAAACTGGTGGGCACAATGAAATCTACGCTTTGATTCGTTAAATTGATGAGAATTTTCTTATTTTCCTTTGTTGTGGTTTCTATCCACTCCAGTTAGCAATATTGAACGATAGGAATGAACCAAAAAGAAATTGGCATAGAATTCTCGGTGAAATTGTGTAAGAGTTTCTTTCTTTGGATATGAATAAAATGAAATCCATTGATGTTGATATTAATCATCTTTTGAGGTAAACGCTAGGAGTTTCTTTAGAAGTAAATATTTTACATTTTTGGGATGACGTGGGAGGTCATACTGTGATGGATTTGCTTACATGGTGATGCTGAACATTTGGCAGTGTTAGTATTCTGTTTATTCTTTCTCGTTTGTTTTAGAAAACCTTTCCTGCTTGTCTGTGTCTGAGTATGCTTTTCTCCTTTTTGTCGCCTTCATTCTGTCCAGTATGGCCTTGCAATTGGAAAGGGTATTGCTGTGTAATGTGATAGGCTATACAAGAAATGATAGAGAACCTGTTTGGAAAGATATTTTAAAAAGGGTGTGCAAATATACTGTAATGCAAACAAAATCATAAAACTATCATGCTTATCCTTTGTTTGAAGACTACTGTTGGGTGATTAGTATCATAATATTTAATTTGATGTCAATATTTGCTTTGGCTCTTTGGAAAACCTTGATTCTTGACACCGAGAAATTCAAATTCTATATTTACTTGTTCTTGTGTATTCTCTCAAAAAGTCATGAATAATTTGATATGATGCGCTAAATTTCCTGGTCAAGGAAAGTAGAGTGGTGGGAAAGGGCGCAAGCTTGCCTGGAGAGTGGGATAACATTGCCATAACATGAGACACAGGCAAACTCCTCACATATTCTAATGAGAAGTTAATTGGCATCAATCAGATTGGGCTATGCAGCATATGTATAAATAAAAATTGCAGAGGGAATTCTTGTTTGTAACTTAAGTGTTTTTGAAAACTCAATAAAATTATGTTTTAATGGAAAAGTTTTAACATTCTAAATTCAAGTTTGTTTATAGTTTTTAAATTTACATTTACATATCTTTCAACAGGAATTTAAACACATACCCACGCATAGAAGGATTTGATGTCAAACTGAAACATGCGATAAATAGGTATCGTTTTGTTCTTTTCTTTGGCCATTCTATTGGCCTGGTGAATGACTGAAGAACCGCTGGAATAAGCGTTTTTTGTCGCTTTACTGATTACTCTTTCCTCAGGACCCACTAAGATGTGTATGAAGCCAATAGGCTGGATACACATGCAGCACAGGACAAATTGTTGAATGAAAGAAAACATTACTCGCTCTGTTTTTGAGCTGTCTTTTAGTTGGATCTCTGGCATGCATCAGAGCCTTGCCATCTCAAGCACTCATGTAATCCATGAGGGCCTCACGCCTCTGGTCTTTATTACTTACGTTTTTAATGATGATTATGCCCATAGAAAATAGTATTCTTTTTTAATCCTTATTTTTCTGTTTCATGGACCACAAATTGTTTCTGCTTCATGGACTCTTGGCTTGCATTACCGATGTCCCAATGTTAAGTTTTAGGACAAATTTTAGATTATATTTTTTTCATTAAATTCTTAAATTAAATTATAATATATGGACACACTTTTCATATTAAAGATCTCTCTTAAAAATACTTTGCTGAATTAACAATCAAATTGGATATTGTCTCCATATAATTTTAAAACTTGATGGCAAAAAAAAAATAATATAAATTTTGTCCTTTTAATTACCTAACCTAGAATAAACTCAGCAAAGTGAATCTCTATCAAGTCTACAAAAGCTATGTTACTCAGGGCCAACATGTCATATAGAACACACCATTTGCCAATGAAAGTTGAGACTTTTTTTTTTTTAATTATTTATGTGCAACTAGGAAGAGTTATTATTATGATTTCGCAACTTCTACATGGATAAATAAAATGTACATTAATTCAAAAGTTGTCCATCAATTGTAGCATGGACCAATGTGTCTACGTGAAAATATATCAATAAAATTTTATTCAATTTTTTTAACCCGTACGTGCACAAGATAAAAATGTATATATCATAAATTTTTATTAAAAATTATGACATTTAATAGTTCTAATATATTGAATTGCATTGCATGTTATAATTTTTTATCATGCACAATATTGCACTGAGTTGAAATAAATATTTTGTTTTAAAGACTCTATGATGTTAATTGCAAGTAAAGGATATTAACAAAGTAGGACTCCTTTGTTATTTTCTTTTTATAATCATTTTAAATTGCTGCAAAGGATTCTTATGATATGTCAAGCAGCAGCTGATTCTAACATGAACTAGAGAGAGAGAAAAGTAAACTCTCTTTTTAAATATTACCCAAGGGAACTTCAATTATACTAATTAATTTTCATTTAAAAATGAAATGAGAACTGAAAAAGTATGAGGTTTAAAAAAAGCAAGACATGCAGTGCAAGGTACATTCCACATGGAGGCAGAGGAGAGGGAGCCATACATCACAAAATCCAGAGCGTTATATGATTGAAAGGTTACTTGTGCGATTCATATTTTTGGCTTCTTTCTCTCGTGAATGTAATTGGCAATCCAAAGCAATATTACCTTTATATTTAATTTTTATATTTCAATCTTAAACTACTTTTTATATATATGAAAAAAATACTCTAAAAAGAGAGGGAAAAAATTGTGAATTTTACTATCCTTTTTCCTAAGTGAAATAAATATAAAATGGAATGATTAAAAAGAAAAGAAGTGTAAAGAGTATGATTTTAGTAGCAGTATGTGACAATGCAAAGTGATAATTGAAAAACATGGGTTCATAAAATTTGAAACTAACGGTTACTTAGTATACTATTAAAGCTAAGCAAAACATTCTCGTGACACTTACAGCAAGCTCCTCAGCTCCTCAATTCCCACTAAATTTCAGTTTCTCATTTCTCTCTCTCAACAAAGGATCCTCGTGATGAAGAGCTCTCATATTTCACGAGCTTCGTATTCCTCACTTAGAGATCAGAAAAGCTTACTCAGTTCAGTTTTGAATTCTCCCCAACACCTTCAAATACCCCTACAAAACTTCCACCCCATCATGCATCATCCCACTTCACCAACCAACAACAACAAAACATCCTCGTACTACAACCTATGGAATCCAAAATTCAACTCTTTTTCCTCACCCTTTTTCTCCTCATTCTCACCATCCATGCTGGAACTCTTGCTACTTACATAGTTCAGTTACATCCTCATGGCACAACCAGTTCTTCCTTCACCTCCAAGCTGAAATGGCACCTTTCATTCATACAGCAAACTGTTTCCTCTGATGAGGACCCTTCTTCACGCCTCCTCTACTCTTACCATTCAGCCATGGATGGTTTTGCAGCTCAGCTAACTGAGTCTGAGCTTGAGTACCTTAAAAACTTACCTGATGTTATCTCAGTTAGGCCTGATAAACAGCTTCAGATTCAGACCACTTATTCTTACAAATTCTTGGGACTCAACCCTACAAGAGAAAATGGTTGGTATCAATCCGGATTTGGCCATGGAACCATAATTGGGGTGCTCGATACTGGAGTGTGGCCAGAGAGTCCTAGCTTCAATGATCATGGAATGCCTCCAGTTCCCAAGAAATGGAAGGGTATATGCCAATCTGGCAAGGACTTTAACTCTTCCAATTGTAATAGAAAACTCATTGGTGCAAGGTACTTTACCAAAGGCCATCTAGCAGTGTCACCTACCAGAATTAGAGAATATTTATCTCCTAGAGACTCATCTGGACATGGCACACACACTTCATCCACTGCTGGTGGAGTGCCGGTGCAGTCGGCTAGTGTGTTCGGCTATGCGGCAGGCGTGGCGAGAGGAATGGCTCCTGGTGCCCACATTGCAGTGTACAAAGTCTGCTGGTTCAATGGCTGCTATAACTCTGACATCATGGCTGCAATGGATATGGCAATCAGAGATGGTGTGGACATTCTCTCATTGTCTCTAGGTGGCTTTCCAGTGCCTCTATATGATGATAGTATTGCCATTGGAAGCTTTAGAGCAATGGAGCATGGGATTTCAGTTGTTTGTGCAGCAGGAAATAATGGCCCAACAGAAATGTCTGTTGCCAATGAAGCTCCTTGGATTGCCACTGTTGGTGCTAGCACACTAGACAGGAAATTCCCAGCTATAGTGCACATGGGAAATGGGCAAGTTCTCTATGGAGAATCCATGTACCCATTGACCCATCCAATGAACAATGGCAAAGAGCTTGAGGTGGTTTATGTGGCTGATGTGGACACTGAGAGTCAATTTTGCCTCAGAGGGTCTCTTCCAAGGGACAAGGTTAAGGGTAAAATGGTGGTCTGTGACAGAGGTGTCAATGGAAGAGCAGAAAAGGGTCAGGTGGTGAAGGAAGCAGGTGGTGTTGCTATGATATTGGCGAACACAGAGATAAACTTGGAAGAGGATTCAGTTGATGTTCATGTCTTGCCTGCAACCTTGGTAGGATTTGATGAATCAGTCACCTTGAAAGCTTATATAAACTCCACAAGTAGGCCTCTTGCTAGAATTGAATTTGGAGGAACTGTGATAGGGAAGTCTAGAGCCCCAGCAGTGGCAAGATTTTCAGCCAGAGGACCAAGTTTTACAATCCCTTCAATCCTCAAACCAGATGTTATAGCTCCAGGAGTCAACATCATTGCTGCATGGCCTCAGAATCTTGGTCCTACAGGCCTTCCAGAGGATTCTAGGCGTGTCAACTTCTCTGTTATGTCTGGTACCTCAATGGCATGCCCTCATGTTAGTGGAATTGCTGCTCTCATTCGTTCAGCTCACCCAAAATGGTCCCCTGCAGCCATCAAATCTGCAATCATGACAACATCCGAGGTAACTGACCACACAGGAAGACCAATTCTTGATGAAGATAAACCAGCTGGAGTTTTTGCAATGGGATCTGGACATGTGAATCCACCAAGAGCATTGAATCCAGGACTTGTATATGACATCAGGCCAAATGATTATATCACGCACCTTTGCAGCCTTGGATATACAAAGTCAGAAATATTCATCATAACACATAGAAATGTGAGTTGCAATGCAATCATGCAGATGAATAGAGGCTTTAGCCTTAACTATCCCTCATTCTCAGTGATTTTTAAGGATGGAATGAGGAGAAAGATGTTCAGCAGGAGGGTAACAAATGTGGGAAGTCCTAACTCCATCTACTCGGTGGAGGTTATAGCACCTGAAGGAGTAAAAGTGATAGTGAAACCCAAGAGGTTGGTTTTTACACAAGTAAATCAAAGCTTGAGTTATAGGGTATGGTTTATATCAAGAAAAAAGGCTAAAAAGGGAGATTTCACGAGCTTTGCTGAAGGGCATTTGGCATGGGTACACTCACAAAACGGTTCTTACAGGGTTAGAAGCCCAATAGCAGTGACTTGGAACTCTAAGTAGCATGGACACGGAGAAGAGTGGTAGACCACAGCCATTAATTAAGTTTTTCTTGTAGCTTATTTTCTTATGATCATTGGTTCAATAGCTTTATTTATGATTGCTGAATTTATATACTGAACTTTGTGTAACGAGTTTTAGTAGAAAAAACTCGACAAGTAATCATAAGAGTAAGCCCTTTTATAAATGCTAAATAAATTGGTTTTGCCAAGTCAAATCTACATGTTTTTGAGTCAGAATATAAACATCATGTACTCATTCGTACAATGTTGTATCCATGATTTTATTTTTTAAAAATTGGGTAATTAAGCTACTTGGTAGGGAGATAACAGAAATGTTAGCAGCATGCTGGTTATACTTATTTGCTTGCTGTAAGTTGTCTTGCTCAAAACATAATAACGATACCAAGAAGGGAATCATTGAAACCTGAGCTTTCCAAGTTGCATCAAGTTAAAAATTGTTATACACAGATAGAGAAGGTGAAATGTATCTTGAATCTAAAGGGGCTTCTACTTAATAAGAGCAAATTTAGGGAAAGACAAGCAAGAATGTGACTCAATATGTGAAAAGAAAGGCTAAAATGGAGCCAAGTTACAGAAAATAGATTGGAACAAAGCCAATTTGGAGAAAGAAATCTAAAATGAAGCCAAAATGCAGAAAGACAAGCTAAAATGGAAGAACATGAAGAACAATGCCTATATATTCCCCATAGTATACCAGTATACTACCTCAAAATTCTGAAAACATTCAAAATTATGAACTTTTACTACGAGTGATGTTACATGGGGATGTGATGAGGCAGGGATATTTTATACTAGTGTTAAACAGATTTATTACTATTCACAAGTATTCATGGATATCTGTAAATATTTATTAAAAAAATACATCTTTTTAATAACCTATTTGAAATAACTTATATATAAAATTATAATGAAAAGAAAAAATTGAATACTTAAACTACAGAAGCAATACAATATTTGTCACAACAATAGTAGCACAATATTTAGTTCAAGCAAATATATCAAAAGCACCATAAAACAACAAAGGTGAGATTATGTTTGTTTTTATATAGATGAGAAATTTTAATTATTATATATAGAAGTATTCACATGTATAGGCAGGCACCCCTCTCAATTTATAAGCGGGTGACAGAAACCTATTTAACCAAACTTGTAAATATGGATGAGTCCAAGCATTTTTATCCTAATGAATTTTTACTCACAAATATCTATGACTACGAATACTTTTCTCAGCACTAATGCGATAATCCATAAAGGAAATAAGGTATCACATCATAATTTTATTTCTAAATTTTAAGTCATGTTCATATATACAACAATATTTTATATTTTAATATAATTTTACTTCACCTTTTACTATGATGGCATTTGTTTAATATTATACTAATAAATAAATAAAATATTCAAAAAAGTTGATAAGAACGATATACTTGAGTCAAAAACAAAGTAAGTAATATATATATATATATAGAGAGAGAGAGAGAGAGAGAGAATTTGATATATATTATTAATTTTAAAATAAAAAATGAAATAAGAGATAATCTGCTTTCCTTTCATTTTTTTTTTGGTCAAAAGTGACAATCTGCTTGAGCCATAAACCACAAACTACTGGGCTTAAATGGCCAGCCCAATTGACATATTCGCTTCTAGATTATGTCAATCGATCTTCATGACCCACCAAAAAAAAAAAATCTGTGTTCACTTACAATCATCACATATATTTTTATCTTCTTTAAGGGAAGGGAGAAAAAACGATAATATTCGACCTAATAAGATTCATTAATAAAGAAAAAAAAGACCTAATAAGATTGTTGTTAAAAGGTAATATTTCTTTCATTTGTCATTATTTTTAACACGATGATTATACTGTTAAGAAGTATTTCATCACCCTAGCAAATTCCAATTATTATTATTTTTTACCTGAATCATGTATTAAGAAATCTATTTTTTTTTTTTTTTGGTAAAATAAAAATGCAAGCACATATATAGTTTAAGAAGGAAATTCATGTGAGATAGGTTTCGTGATAAATATTATAAATGTTTTAGTTGTCACATTTCATGATTACAATAGTTTATGTCAAACTAATAAATAAAAAACAAAGGGTATACGAGCCAAATGTTTGAATTCACAATTTTAATTAGGGTTAATTATTTTGTCAAATCATGCAGAGACAAAGATAAGTCCTTTCAAATTAACTAAGTTATCATCAAGATCCGATTTAGAGAGATTAAAAAAAAAAACATGTTAACTTCAAATTTATAAATTCAAATGTTTGTGAACAAAACGAGAATGTGTAGGTGAATTTAAGAATAAGGAATTATCATGGTTATTACTAGCATTGAAACTTTCATTTTTTTTTTTTTAGCTTACTTTAATAAAATTTACATTAAGATAATACTCTCCCACTTTACACTAAAATACTACTCTAGAACTAGTAAAATTTATCAAAATATTTTTCTTTTATTTCAGCTTATTAGACTCTCATATAATAAATTTATTGAGTAAATATTTATTTAATTACCCACTCAAATAGACGGTAGAGTTGCTAAAATAGAATGAGGCTAGGAATTATTTGGTAAAGACGTTGAAACAAGATATAACAACATATATTTATTTATATTTGTTTCATTTTAAAAATAGAATAAAGCTACACATGTAATTAAAATTAATATATTTTTAATTATACTTTTCAATAATTACACTCTTCATACTATTCTTAATAAAATATTTTCCCTAGTCCTTTTTTATAAGGTACACTATAAAAGATTTTAGTGATTTATGTATGCTCCTTTATTGTTTCTATCAAGATTTATTTGCGTTTTTCTTATTTATCCTTAATGTCTTTGAAACCTAAATTAAAATTAATAAGAATAAATTTTGATAGTGAAATTAATGTCAATAATATTTAATAAAAGTAAAATTATTATGTCATGATGTCTTTTAAAAAATTTAAATTTTAAAAATTTCTATTCATTTGTATAATTTGGTTGAAAGTACCTTGTATATATAAAGAGTAAAGAGAATACTTGATATTCAAATAAAAAATTATAATAATTTAAAATTAATGTAAAAACAAAAATTATAATTACTTAATATATTTTTCTACAAAATAAAAGATATATTAAAAATTAATTATTTGAATGTGTCTTTTTAGGCTACCTATAATTACTTAAAAATTAAATGATTGTTTAACTTTCACTTAATTTATTGATTATTTTTACCAACTACATTTAATGTACGTTCTGAACTTAAAAAAACATTTCTCTCAACAATAATTGGATCTTAATCATAAGTTTTGTTTTGAAATTTTGGAATTGTCACCATCTTTTCAAAATTGCAAACACAAAATGAAATTTGAATGTAATTTGTATGGGCCCATTCATATTGAAACCATTTAAAAGGAAATTTAGTTATAGTTTTATTGCAATTAAGAGTTCATTCATTTTAACTTCTTTTTTTATATAAAAAAACTACTTTATTTAAAAATCAATTTTAAAAATATTTAGTGTGTTTATTTAACTTTAAAAAATATTATTTTTCATATTTTTAATTATTTTAAGCAGCTTCTCTAAAAATTTAAAATTATCATTAACTTTAAAAAATATTTTTTGCAACTACAACCAAACAAAAAATATCTTTTTTTTACATCTAAAAATAAATTATTTTTATTTTTTGAAAATATAAAGAAATGGGCCTAAATGTAGACCCTTTGTATTGCATAGTGAAAAATCATTCTAATTAAAACATATTTTTGTATATATATTGTTGCACACATAAATTTCATATATAGAAAAATAAATTGAGAAAATTCATAGAATGTACTACCTGGTTTCATGGAGGGAGAGATTTTGAGGCTTCTTGGTACAAAGGAAGCCCAAAATCCATTTGAAGGTTTTGATTAAGAAAAGAAGCATTGATTTTCGAAATCAATACAAGTCTCAGCCACGTCACATGCACGTGCTACATGTGCGATTAGGAGCACTATGATCCCATTATGGCATCTCTTTGCTGTCTGCAATGTGGTTTTCTTTTTCTTTCCAGTTTTTAAATGATGAAAAGCTGTTTCTGGTTATCCCTTTGCCACAGAGGCATTTGGACACAAGTAACCTAAGTTTTCACTTTCAATCTCTCTCCATTTATATGTAGTATTTGAATTTCTCATTGTCTCTCTCCAATAATAAGGAAGGATGCAGTTCACTAGGAAGCTGCTATTTCACATGGCTTCCATCTGTCTTAGTAAGTGGACAAGTTTCAGATGGGATCTAAGCAAAATTAAGGGCAGTAATATGGTCTCTAATTTTTCTTCTTGTTGTAGTCTACACCATGTGTGCATGTGAAAGGGTGAAAAGGGAACAAAGAAAAAAGAAGTATTTTTTATATGAGAAGTGGCAGTTGGTGAGCTCAGACCATGATTGATCAAGTGCTGCACTTTTCTCCCATTTCCTTCTGTTTGCCGATTCCTCTTATATTTTATTCTTCATTATTATCAACATGTTCTTACTTTCATCTATTACTTGCTTTTTCATCTAAAAGGATGATTTGTGTTTTATTAAAAACAAATTAATAGACCTGCTCTAGAGAATAACAAGGATCATTAATTCCCGGATGCAATTGAAGATTTTTGCTGGCACATGAATATGTTTCTAGTATTTCACCATTGGTCAATTGAGTGTACAAGTGCAGCACTTGTTTTAAAAATACCTTATACTATTTTGTGGCCCTTTCATTTCATTTTTAAAAAAAATTTAATGGGTGGAAGAACTTGTCTTATTTTCAAGTTTCTTTCGCCCTATAACATGGAAAGATTCCCTTATCAAAATCATAATGAATAATTAACATTTGTGAGACTTAAACCATCAAGTGGATGATGGGTATCTTTACTTCTTTAATCTTTTTTTAAAATTTTCTTCTTTCTCCCCTTCTCTCCCGTGTGTCTTTCTTTCTTCCCTTAATTGCCCTTCCTAGTGCATTTAGAAAACCAT